TACATTACAATTGTTGTATCGCGTTCATTCTGTCAAATATGCAAAGTTCATCCACGTGTGAAGACGAAATTTTTTAATTTATTTGTAAAAGTAATTACATAAAATTTTCAAGTCAGACCGACGAGACAGTAAATTATTCATAGTAGTTAGAGCTTACATTACCAACTCCAGAAACTCTTATATTTTTTATGTTTTCTGTTAAAGTCCATGAAATCATCACCAACATATGCCTCAACTAAATTTGTAACTTTTAATTAATTTATTTCGGTTTCTAATAAAAATTTTATTTTTGTTCACAATATCATGACATACAAAAAAAAACTAACAGCAAATATTTCAATCTCAAGTACTCTAAAATACGGAGATAGAATTATTCGTACATTCATTAAAACGTAAAGTAGTTAAAAAAAGTGGTAAATTTTGGTCACACAAAGTGAAGAAGTGTCTCATTTTAGAGGTGTAAAATTGTTAGTCTGTGTTGTGGCTTCTAACAATGCTCTTGCACTTTTTGAATAACATCGCCGTGACATGCGCTTATAAAATACATTTTCTTACTGACAAGTGGGCATTCATAATTTCTCTGACTCTACGAATAAAATTCTAGAAACGCAAAAAGAGCTAAAATTATTTTTCTCTTCTGTAAAAATATTTTTGTTAAAAAAAAAAGAATTCAACATTAAAAGCCTTTTTATGTCTTTCTTTCTTTATGTATAACAGAATTTCTTATGTCTTATCAGTTCACATTTATTGTATTCCCATCCATATTGGTGGTTCAATTATACAATAAATTATCATAGCAATAGAAACAATGGCAACATGTAAAGAGCAGTTAATATACGAATGAATTTACCAAATAATCTGATTCCTCTCAATAATAGAGAAGGTCTTATCCTTATTGAGAGTACGTTCCATTATTCTAGCATTGTATCGACACATACTCCTGAGTGTTTATTGATCAACATAATAGAAGCTTTTGCCACTGTGTAGTATGTTTCGTGTACTCAGCAGGAAACGAATCCTTCTACTAATATCCTTTTATATTATGTATTTATTACTACTAATTGATCACACAATAAACTTGGGTGCTAACTAGTATATTTACTGAAAGCACCGTCGTCTTAATCCTTAAAAACACTTTCGATAAAAAAAGCAGTTTATGAGTATCCAAATAATAAATTGAATAATCGGATTCAAGCTGTAAAATATACTCGTGTACCTAATAAAAATTAAAAATTTATCTTGTAAACTCACAATAACATCCAAAATGAAATAGAATATTTTTTATCGAATTAATTATATCATTTGAAAAATAATTTCGAATATATATAATACACTGTAAATTTTAATGTTTTATTTTAAAACATTAAAAGTGTTTTAATATGACGTCACCCATTTGATTAACACTGTCTCGATTTTGAAACACTTAAAATCGTTTTAAAATCGAGACAGTGTTAATCATATGGGTGACGTCATATTAAAACACTTTTAATGTTTTAAAATAAAACACTAAAATTTACAGTGTATTCTTTTCAATAATAACAATAAGCATTAATACAAATTCATAAATTATTCCTAAATTTACCGATCTCATGAATAATCAATGAATTAAAGATAATTACTTTACATAAATTTCGAACGCCAGAGTGAATTTAGATCATTTAAATTTCCAAAATTTTCAGTTAATTAAAAATTAGTTGGAGTCTCTCGCAATTTTCACAAAATATGCTGATTCATTATAGTATTTTAACTCTATCAGTAAAATATATCAAAACGAAATTAATTTTGACTGAAAGTAGAGCAATTTTATTTTGTTCCGACATTTTTTAATTATAGTAAAAGCATCCCTATTTTATAAGTACTCAAATTATCCACAATCTGATATAATAAAGGTTTTGATAACCATATTATGAACGAATCAATAACGAGAAACAATTGTTAAAGTAAAATTTGAGGTGCATGTATAAACGTGATTCTGCTGATGTTTGCCCAAAGTAAAATTCGTTTACATAACTCTGAGTCCGTTTTGAATGTGGTAGACCTTATCGTTTACCACCAGTATTTCATTTTGAACGTAGCCGTTACGCTTTCCACGTCGCAAGCAATTTAAATAAATAATCGACCGCTTCTTACAAATTTTTTTCAAACGTTTTATTAAACAAAAACACTTTCTCGAGTATTCTAAACTAGAACAACTCTTTAAATCAAGATGTAATCATGAATCTATAGAAAAAGGACATTAGTTCATACATGCACGGCAACGGAATTGCATCTAAATGCATTTGCATAATTAACGTATGTGGAGAGTACAACTATTGCTGGTCAGTTTTGTTAGAGTATGTACCAGTTAGCTTTAAAAAAGTAATTTGATTTTATCAAACTTTTTATACTATGTATACATAATAGATTACCCAGATCACACGATAATATAATTCCTATATTAAAAGCACTAGGTTTCATGCATACATATCAATCTTTTTATATCATACCAAATTATTTTTGAACATTTTTAGGATTATAAAGAACTCTAGTTAATTTACGTGGATTATTTATAGATTCAATCAAAATGATGGCTTTTAATGGACTAATGTAATCTGTTTTAAGCTGATATTTATTAATAATTTTTTTCTCGTTGTATTTGTGCATTTGTGAACTTTAAATCAAAATAGTCCTCATATGATTAATTTTTGATAAATGTATTTGTCTGGTTGTAATGTTGATATAATGTTGATGAATAAAAATCTGATGATGTTTATGTAACAAAATAGGTGAGGAAGGATTAGGAAGTTGAGTTGTAGCGAAAGAGAACTTGAAGTAAGATCAAGTGGACTGCTAGTTCTACTTTTCTTTAATTCTACAAGAATTAAGAGCCATGATAGTCCACCATCATCGTTAGTCAGAAACTTGCTAAAGAGTTTGATAAAATGAGTTACAATAATAAGCACAAAGTAAAAAATAATGATGGGATTTTTTTTCGTTATAATCAATCTTATTAAAGTAGACGAGTTTTTTCGAGCTTGTTCTTGATAAATAAATCATCCAAGCATTGTAAAATAGTAATTCATAGATTTAATTAAACTTGTTAGATATAACAGTCAACAATTTAGAAGCTTTCAAAGTGCAGGGGGTTAAGGACCGGCGTGTCCATCGAACTGAAAAGGCTTAGAGGCACCTCCCATTAGTTTGCAATTCATATAAAGCACATTCTCCATTCTCTTAAGCTCGTAATTATTTCAGATGTTCTATATGGGTTGGTTCAGTTGTTTAATTAGTCACACAAAATCCATGGTGAAACTGAGGTTGAGAAATGTGGAGAAACGAAGCCAACTTGGTCTTGTACGCAAAGCTGTCAGTACCAATGTATAAAATAATTATAAAAACTTATATATTTATTCTTTTTCTTATTAATGATCAACACGGGAAATTCTTTAACTTTAATAACACTTTTATAATTTATTTGCATAAAGTGTAATCATTAATTACAACATAATAACAATAATGATTGCAATATTGAAAATTTTTTTATTTTTTTAGACTTACACAGGTTTTTTTTTTACTCATTTTTGAGTTTATAAAACGTATACTGTGATAAATAATTCATTTTTAAAATTTTAACTAATGGATTGTTTCAAAAGAAATAAAATACTAGAAACGATAAAAAATTGACCAAAAGAAAACTAATGAATTTAATTCAAACAACTTTCTACTTGCTACTTGGTAATTGTGACTTTATTTTTGGTGGTTCAATATTTCTTTATTTCTCATTAGAATATTTTTCTGTAGATACTCACCAAAATAATTCACGTAAACAGATTTTAAACTTTTCAAATGATAACAAAATTATCAATACAATAGTTGGATAGTGTAAAAGTTATACATATTAATGGCTATAAAATAAATTATAAATCTTTGTAAGCGATTTCGCATCTTGCATTATAATATGTTACGTAGAAAAAAACCGATGAAGTATTTTTTTTCTTGGATTATAAATGTTAAAATTAATTCGCAAGAAATTTATGGATCAATGGAAATTTTAATTTCTACTATAAACAAGAAGTTGAAAAATTAGTCAACCCTCTATGTAGTGACAAGTAATCGAGCAAACACCGCTGCGATAAATCTTCCGAAATGAATTCCCCGCCTTTGAGCTGATACTAAAAGAGAAGGAAATGCGATGAGATGAGCGTGAACAAGTAGCAAAAGTGGGATATAACTTTACGAATTACTCTCAAAATATCCTCGAAAACTGGTAATTAATTATAGCCACATCTGGCGATTGTTATAGTTACATAATGCCTTTCAATTAATGTTAAAGAAATCCAAAAAATTCTCATAAAAATTTTTGTCAAACACAAACATCATTCAAATTAAAAAAAAAGTTCACAAGTTTCAGGATTTAGTTCCTTATTATAAATAATTAATGAGACCATCAAATTTTTTGCATCAAAAACAGTTCTAAAGCTGAAAGAAGCAAATTCAGTATTTATAATCAAGCGCAATAACGAGTGGTATGTTCAAAAAAGCTCTTGACGTAAAAAAAATGGTATTCCTTCATCATAAAAATATTAAATAATTAAAATTTTAGAAATTTGATGAAACGTTTATTTTTTTTAATTAAATTAATTCTTATTATAAAGCAAAAATATTATCACAAATCTACAAATAGCAACAATAAAAATAGTATGAATATTATTTGTTGAAATGCTGTTAAAAAATGTTGATAAAAAAGATCTATTAATAATCAACGGGGCTTGCAAGATAAAAATCTTAACCACGTTCTAGCAGTTTATAACCTCAGGACTTTGAATAAATGCTTGCAATATCGGGGGTAAAATGTATCCAAGCGTTTGTGTTCCGTTAGTAGAAACAAAAGACGTAAATGGTCCTGAAACCAACTCTGGCTTCTATACTACATAAGATCTATTGCTTTAGCTGAACACACATTGGTCAGAAAGCAAAAGCGTAGTAAATAGAAACGAAAAGTCTTCGATAATTTTTTTTTATGATGGTTAAATTACTTTGCTTCATTTTCTGCTTTAGCTGTTCCCGTTTTATTGTCTTCCTTCACCATGATGTTTTTTGTGATGGGCCCCAATTATCTGTCAGCCGGAACAAACTCATGTCTCGCTGTAAAATAAATAAATTTATTGTTTACGACATTACAAAATCCTTTTCATCCCCGAGATGTTTTTTACTTTGTTATTTTTTATTACGTTCTATTTTATAGATCCGAAACTAACGTAAATCATCAAAGCCTGTGACAGAGGCGCTATCAATACAAAAGAACGCCGAGGAAAGTAAACTTGAGCAAAGGAGTTATATAAATCTATGCTTTACTGTTATGTCATATATTGAACACTTACTGGTCCTTTCCAGAGACAATATAAGAAGTATAATGGTAAGGGTGCCAATGTAGCCAACCCGATTAAAATACCAATCATATCTGCCCATTTTGGATAAACGTAAGCGTTGTAGTAACCGCTCTCAAACTTCGATAGCTGATAGATAAATACACCCTGGAAAAAATTATTATTTTTAAAAATTCATTCTATTTAAGGTACAATAAAAATGTTAATGGTCTTTTTTGTGTGATAAGATTAACAATAAAAGAAGTTTTGAATAATATTAGGAAAATAATCTAAGTTTTTATGATTTTTTTTATTGTGTTTAAATGAATTATTATTCAGAATTTCCTGAAGTAATTCAACTACTTGTTTTGGTTCATAAAAAAATTAAATAAAATATCCGTTGCAAAATTTTAAATATCTTACAAACAGGAAGTAAAACAATATACAGCTGTTATAAAGACTTCATGAAAAGATTTAATAGAAGTTTTTATTGAACTTAACTTTCTTTTTTTATTTGAAACTGAACAAAATTCTATTCTTAATGTTGTGTTAAAATAAAATTCATGACAATTTCAATTTCTTTTCGTTTTTTGTTATTAACTTAATGGTTAATAATTAATAACGAGCTGTGATAATAAATTCATTCATTTTTTGTCATTTAAACTCAGTATGATTGATGTCTAAAGAAATATTCATTAAGCTTTAAAAAGCTTATGAATATTCAATAAATTAATTTCAACTCAAGTTTAAAAATATGAGTTAATAATTATCAATTTTCATTAACGTTTCTATTTATCAGAATTATTTTTGCAAACGATTCATAAAACTTTTATACAAGCATTAAGATTGGCATCATTAGTTTCTATTACTTTTCATTCATAAACATATGAGCTTTTTTATTACAAATGATATATTCGCCTTGGGTAGAATATATCTATTTAATGTACAGTCACCATAGGAAGCATTATTATCAATTATAAATATGCTGCAAAATTTTTGCATGAAAAGAGTATCTAGGAGAAATATTCATCGAGATCAAAAAGAAAAAAATTTTAAAGATTTTACAAATATTTATAAAATATTTCAAAATAATATTCTTTTATTTAGAAATATTTCTAAAAATAAAACGACATACTGAAAACTTTCTCCATGCTATCAAAAAATACTTTAGATATGTTGAAATTCCCTGAAGCGATCGTATAAATATCCAAACTGTTAAATATATACTTTGGAATCTCAATAGAATTTCCAAATTCAAATTAAATAAGCTGATTGAAGATAATTATTATCTTCACATAAATAATCATTTAAGTTCATTCAATGTTAATAACAATGATCAGAATTTCAAAATACTGCAAACATATCAAAGCAAACAACGAAGTGATGTAAATCAGAATTAGTGAAACAGCTATCCATGCAATATTAAGTGTTCTACTGTTGATTGAAAGCACGCGACAGAGACTTACCACACATGTAATGGGTGTCAAGAACATCCAACTGAGCCACCAATAACCGTTGACGAGAATGCCAAAGGGCATTTGCATTTCGCTAATATTGCCGAGAAATTTGTTGCATCCATAGCACCAGGCTGGAACCGCAACTTCAAACAATCCAATCAGCAGTACCGCCCAAGAGGCAGTATTCCAATCCATCAACATGTAAAGATAGATACCACCATCAAATACCATTGGTAAGGCCAGTAACCATCCGCAGAAACATATAGCAAGCATCAGAAGACTTTCATGTTTTCGTAACCCTGGTCGTAAGTCCAAAATGGCTGTATGTATAGCTTGAACTCCTGCAAACTGTAATTTAAACTAGTAAATAGTCATTATCCGGCGTGATTTGAGTTGAGATTCATCTATTACCTAAGTTATCCCCATGTTGTTCAATTAAACGTTTGATACTATACTAGGTTTAGAAATTAAGATTATTTTGTAGTTGTGAATAATATTTTATAAAAGTTAATATGAATAACATTGGGAGTACTTAACATTTTTGACTAAAAGTAGACTAATGTTGATATTAATTCATTATTGATTCAATAACTGGGTAATAATATTGTTATTATTATAAATATAAAAAACAAGTTTTAACATCAATTGACAAAATTGAATTTCAAATAAAAATTTTTTAGATAGTTCATCAATAATGTTTCAATAACATTCTTCTACATTTTCTTTTATTTTTTGACAGTACCTATTTAACATCATAACACCTTGTTCATATAAAAAAATTGTCACCTCTAAAATTGCAAGTATGATATGATGCGATTTATTGATAAATATTCGAAAACCATATTATTTATCCCTTTTTCTCACAGATCGAACTTTCATTTTGTAAAAAAATGTCAAATTCCTCTGTTGACAAGGTGGTTTCGTGAATTCATTTTTCATGAATAGAATAAAGGCTTTTTATGTTTTGAATTTCGCGATGAAAAAAACCGATCTTTTGATGCGTTTACTTAATACGAATATGAAATATGTAAATATTCCACAGAGAAAAATTTTAGTTTATTTCTGATGGCTTCAGCAGGTTTTTTCTAGTAATATATTCTTACTGAGCTTAAAAAATTATATGATTTTTCGAGAGCTTCAATATTCTATAAACCTATGGATAAAAACTGGAATGTTGTACAAAAAAATGAGCAACTTTCATGGTTTAAATTCTGTAGACTAGTTATATTATTGTTATTAATCTTTCATGTAACGAAATGTATATTTGTGAGCTATTCAAATGCTCTCTTACTTTTTAAAATTAAAATATATTGATAATTCTGATAGAATAAAATAAATAACACTGCAAATCTCAGGATTTCACAAACGTGTTAAAGTAACACACGTGAAATGTGTTCAATGTAAAATGCCTATTAACCAACTATATATGATTTGTAGACACTTTTCTAACATTTTATAGTGTGTGAAAAATCTATAGTTTGTTTACGGCATTTAAAATTGAAGAGGCTTAACGTTTTAAAAGTGTCTACAACTTGGATTTGCAGTGAAACATTCTATTAAAAATGAAATGCAAATATTTAAACTATTTTAAATCTTTGAAATGATAGAGAGATAAAAGAGGAAAAAGTAAATTTTAAATACATTTTTTCAGAAAAAAAAACATTTTAAATGATAATTTCTCGAAGCAAACACATAATCCATCTGACAACATGTTTATTTACAAAAATACAAAATTAAAACTTTTTCTTGCAAAAAAAAATATCCTTTTCATGTTTATTCGGTGTGCATTTAGTAAATACACGTGTGGCCTTTTGAATTTTGATGGTAGAAATTAATTAAGTGAAAAAAAATTTTTAATAAAAATTTTCTTACGATTCTTCTATTCATGAAGTAACAAAAATTCAGTAGTATTATACTAGACAACAATAAAACGAATTCAAAACAACTTTTTAATTATTCCAAGAAGAATACAGTCGGATCTTGTTATTCAAATTAGAACAAAACGATAGCTTTTCCTGATAGTATAGACTATTGAAATTATCTGAATTCGAATCAGCGTATCTCGTATTTGTTGGTATTCATTACCACAACGTCCGAGCTATGTAGAAGAAGTGAACAATCAAAAGGAAATATAACTATCTACAAGTGTTGAGTATTAAAGGGGTGGCTGAAGGCAATGGCAGTTCGTGACCTGTGACAATACTCAGTGCGTAGTGATGATGGTATAGAGACACACGGCTTTTCTACCGAGCTTAATACATACACTGGTGTTGTTCCAATATAATCCGAGTATGTAAACCCCACAGCGGTCTCGCGAAATGACGACCAGACGGAAGAAGTGAATGAAAAACGGTATGAAAAAATTACAAAATAGCACAAGCTGAAGAGAAAAAAAAGACCTTTAGTGAAACAAAACTGCCACAAGGCGGAACAATAATTATTTTTTCACGCTTGAACTACCAGATTACTTGAATAAAATTGCTACATTACATTTGCTTAATTTAACCGCTGTTTACACGCAGATTCGACAGTTTGAATTAATTATTCTTTCGTATTTTATTAATATTATTTTCTACTGAAATTGTAATAGTATCATAAAAATCAAAGGTTAATAAATTACCTGACTTCCAAGCCCAAGAATAAATAACATAAAAAAAAAGAGCACTGCCCACAAGTTTGCCAAAGGCATGCGAACAACTGCTTCAGGATACGCAATAAAAGCTAGAGCTGGTCCTTCTCGTGCGACTTCAGTTATTGGTACATCCATTTGTTTTGCCAAATAACCCACAATTGAAAATATCACAATTCCAGCAAATATAGATGTAAATAAATTGGTTAGCGTTATCACTATGGCATCTCTGAAATTATAAAGTCAAATGAAATTTTAGTACAATTGAAGAAATAATTAACCGAAAATGTAAACCAATTTTAACTATTTAATAATAAAATTAGGTTATCAGTGAGGTAATTGCATCGATGCAAACTAATTTATTACTGATTTATATATTTTTTATAGGGAATCTGTATTTATTAAAAAATTAATTAATTATAAAATATTTGAATAATTAAAATATTTCTTTTGTAATTATTATTTAGCTCTTTATCATTTTGTAGTTTATATTAATGTAATTATTGGACTATTTATATATTACTTTACTGAAAATAATTTTATTCATTAAATTTATGGATAATGGTTTTTATTTTCATGTTTATCATATGATGCAAATGTGGAAAATTTCATGATGATAGAAAACTTTTTTGTGTTAAACAAGATTTCTTCGTGGTATAAATGAATGTGCTTGATAATAATAATTATTCCTTTTTACCAATAATAGTCAAGTCTACTGAGATACATTTATTCATTCATTTTATTTCTAACCGAGTAGTTACAGACTACAGAAATGAAAGCAAATATAAATTATGATAGAAGTAAACCTGATCTAATGTTTGATACATCCTTTGATATAACAAATCGTATAACATATTTGTGAATAAAATTCTAGCTTTCAATCAGCGTTTATTTGCTGATTGAGCATGTCGATACAACGATTCGCATGCTCAATTTCCTTATCAATGGATCATCAAACTACGAAATAAATGAGGTCTACGAAATACTTTTAGACTGATTGTAGTTACAATTTCACAAAAAATTTGCTTGATTTCGTGGGATAACTAAATTATGCCATTAAGTTGAAATTTAATAGTATCAAATAACATCAAAGTCTATGACAGTGTGTTGAAATTTCTACATCTGTAGAAGAACATCTAAATTCATGTGGAACTTTGATAAGATACTAACATCGTATAGTAGTTGCGAATAAGGCAAAGACTGTTTCACATGAATCTAGCAAAGGGGGAATTCTCAGAGGGACCGTCTGAGGGAAGGTTTCATACGTTATTTTGTGAGAAATTCAATGTCACTGAAGAAGGGTTGCTGAATATGGGATGTTTCGGAGCGATCAAAGTTGTTTCTTCTTACCTGATAGAACGTACGTCATCGCAATATGTACTTTATTCCCAAGTCACGAGCATAATGCGACTAAATTCTAAATCAATATATTTTCTGCTTTTTACAGGATTAGTGATTGGTGATATAATAGAATTAAGACAATTTCAATAAAATAATTGATAAAAAAATTATTTAAAAAAAGTTTTATGCTGGATATTTATTTTGCAATTGAGATAAAGCGAACTTGCTGAATAACTTTGACGTAACTTGCACTCAAAGTGAACGTGTAGATCATGAGTCAAAGTCACAATAGATTACCCGAACACGGACACCCATAGTTAAATCAAAAATGATCAATGAATGATATTGACGATAAGGAACGTCAATCATAATTCTCAATAGACATTCATCGGTATTATGAATGGAATATTTTTTACTATATAAAAATACTAAATCTAGAATAATTCCGAAATAAAATAAATTTATATATAATTATTAAAAGGCAGTAAAAGAATTAACTTAATGATTTTGATTTGTTAATCAGTCAAGATGTTAATGTCGTTCTATGTAAAAAGAATCAGAAGAAAAAATATTGATTTATTGAGCAAAGATTAACACTTCTAAAGGATAATGAAGACAAACTTAAACCCAAGCTTTACTAGCGATTAATTGTCTAAGAGTAAATACCCATAGTTACGGGACTATCTTCACTTGAATAAAAATCCTTCGCAAGATAATTTCTACATTCCTTTACGCTGTGTTAATTTTGGATTGATATTATTAATTAATAATAACTAGAATAACTTTTTTGTTTGTTTAAATAAAATTTTAAAAAGTCTTATGTAATGAAAGAGACTTTAATTAAATATTTTATCGCAAAATAAAGATATCTTTGATTCATCAAACAATTATTTCCAACAAATATTTAAATATGAACACTTTGAGTAAAAATGGAAATGAAAGTAGCTTTTTTTAAAGGTTATTAACCATTAATTTAAACATCTAACACAGGACAAACCGTAAGATAGACTGTAAGGTGGATCATAGAATACTTTTTGTGCAGTCTCAAGAATAACAGTGAGCATGTGGTTAACGCATGATATTTACATGATTAAGTTATATAGTCAAAAGAAATAGATAATCAATACTGATAAAACAGAATTCAATATTCTAAAAGGCAAAAAGCTATATAACTACAGTGGAATAAATGTATTCGCTTATCTGATAAATAATAGCTTTTTAATTATTTGCTTTAACGTTCCAGCACAGAAATACGTTGGTTTGTAAATAAATTGTGATTGGATAGATCAATGAGAAGTCAATCGCAACGTTGATAAATGGATTGTACGGATACAAACCTGTGGCAATTATTCGAAAACGTACTGAAGCTTGATATAGTAATTAGAGATCCACATCCGATACCAAGGGAATAGAAGATTTGCGATGCTGCGTCACCCCAAACCTTTGCACTCAATAGGTGCGACCAGTTTGGCTCAATAAACCACCTGATTCCACCTGCTGCACCTTCAAGAGTAACACCTGTAATTACGAAAATATTTTTCATTAATTATATTAAGTGAAGTCTTCTTATTAATATTTGTTAATTTTGTATCAGTTACCTCGAATAAGAAGAGCGATCAATACAAAGTACGGAAACAGAGCGGTAAAATAAACGACCTTCCCAACGGATTGAACGCCTCGTATTAGACAAAGATAGCATATTATCCAACCAACAGTGAGATATCCGAAGAGCTCCCATCTTATGTTGCCCCAATGATCCCAAGTAGCATCTTGTTGTCTAAGAACGTAATAGCTGCAATGGATTCTATGATTAGATACATTTGCAAAAAGCTCCAGATATTCGTGTACTTTTAAACCGATTAAGGTTATTCTTGGCTTTATAATTAACATCTTAATTTCTTCAATGACTTTATTTATTTTGATTATAATTGTTTGTATAATTAATTATCGTTGGGGGATTCCAGAGTATTTTTGATTCTCATAATATTATTACGTTCTCTTAACTATAATTAATTAATGGTTTTACTAATAATTTAATTTTTGAAAAGATCATCAATTAAATTATAATATATTTTTTAAAATTGTTTTCTATCAAAATTATTGAGAAGTATTTTAATAATCGATATATTTAATAAACAATTTATTGTATCAGAATTAACTTATTGATTTCTATGAAATTTATTTACTTGAAATATTCCTCCGATGACAAATTCCTTGGGTACAACGAATGCAGCGAAGTAGGTAAAGTTTGATTGAAGCAATGCGTTTTATTTCCACCCTGATGATATCCAAAATCTTTGCAAACTTCACGAATCGCTCTGCATGTTTTATTAAAAAAAATTGTGGTACTATCATTGTTAAAGCACTCTTCATCTTGTTTTGCACTGTAGCATTCTACAAAAAAACAATAATATGTAAAATATTTTAATTAAAGTTTTCGATTATAAATAAATAATTAAAAGAAGAGTAATTTAATAGGTTCGAAACTTCAAGGAGATGTGTAAACATATAAGCAGGCTCATATCCGGCAAATTAGATCAAGAACTTGATCAGGATCAGTAGAGCTTTTTGAGAGACCCTTCTACAAAGGTAAGTAGGTTTCAAGCCGTCAGCTAAGCTAACAGTGTGGATAAACTAGTGAGAGTGACCGTTTGATATAGGATCCATATAACTAATGAGCTAGTCGCTTTGTGGCAATTCTATGGGTTTCATTGGTATTTCGATTCTCTTAAAGGCATTGAATATGCAAATCCTTATTACCGAGATTACTAATTATTATCCTATTAGGATAAGCACCAATTTGAAATTTTTGACAATATTAAAAATATTTATAAATTTATTCTTATTTTTTACTAACGTTGAAAAATGTTTTCCCCCAAAAAAATAAAAAATACCTTTGCTTCTAAAAAAACAATTAAATTAAATATAAAATTGTTTCAAGTCTATAGAAATATTTTTTTCGAGAATTTACAAAAATAGATATTTTATTTTATTCGTTGATACAAAAAATTGAGGTTAATTTTAATGGGATTAAAAACAAAAATATCTGACAAAAACATCTATAGAACAATAAAAATTCGGTTAAAAAGGGTTATTCATTAAATTAAATAATAAGTTATAGTCATGATTTGAAAGAAAAAATAATGTCTAAAATAGCCGCAGTATATAGAAGAATATAATTTTCTTTTATTATAAATAGAAAGACATTAAATGAAACCGTCATAGAAGACTATAAACTCTATAACTTTGAATGCTCAAATAATCATCTAAATCACTTCCTATTTTTGACAAGTTGACAAATCTCGAACACATTCAACATCTGCTTTCTCGAGAAATTGACATACTGTCTGTCTACTGAGTAACATATTCTGGGTTGCAAACACATGAGATGAAACCCCGAGTTTCTGTCGATTTATCCATAAGTTGGAGACCAGAACAGTAGTGCGGATTAAGTCCATGACATGCGGAAACAATTACAAACTTACTCTCAGTATTGAAGTCATTGTCACAGTACGCCCAAGAGAGTTTCTTTGAGAAGGATGCAAAGGTATAAAATAATGTCCACGAGATGAGCACCATATAATAAACGGTGACGAATGCGATAACAACTAAAGTGCAGAGTCCAATCCCACCAAATGCTGGAGACATTCGTTTGTATGCTTCTACAGGTCCAACACCAGTATATTGACCCATACATAGCTCCATAAAGAAGATTGGTAAACCCATCGTGATCAACATCAATATAAAAGGAACTAAAAAGGCACCTAAAATCAAATAGATCATAAAGTGTATATGAATTTAATTGCTAATAAAGTATAAAAATGTCTACTAAAGATAAGAAATTTGATATTTTTAATTTTTATATCAAAAAAGAAAGTTTCAAGATAAAAAACTCTTCAAAAAAAACAATGAACATTATTCTTCATAAATAAGTAGTTATTCAAAAAATCTTCGTATTAATATAATTATTATTGTCAAAGTAGTTTTTAGAGAATTCTTTTAAAATAATCATCTCTGTAGAATTCGTTTTGTGAATTTTCTATGGACTTATAGTCAAGTATCACTCTGAAGGTTTTAATTTCTTTACCCAGCACACAACTTTTACGTTACTCTGAAATACTTTGAAAAAGCATCTTTTTATTATGTGCTTCAAGTTGTAATACTATAATCTATATAAATAGAAGAATCTAAAACTTATTGTTACTTTGAAGTAGTTAAACAATTTTTTTCATTTAAGATCAGTAAATAATTCACGAGAAAGAATTATTTCAAAAATACTTGCAAGTTGTTTTTGAATAAATAATTCAACAAGATAATAAGGATAAAGATTATTTCAATATTCTAAGACACGAATAATCATTACAAATTCTTAACAGCATTATATGATAATCGGCATTATTAAAGATATTGTCACTGAGACTGAGGTATATAGCATAGTTTACCAATGTCAACATGTATAGATCACGTTTCCTGTTGAATATTTTACCAGCTTCACTTGCTTCTATTCTCTATGCTACATCTCTTGGATCTCGGTCTTGCTTTGTGTATTATAGTGTACGTGGGGAACATTTTACAATAAAAATCACGATAAAATTATTAAAATGTAGAAATATATTGTCTCAGTAAATTTAGAGGTAACAGTTTATTTTATTGAAAAAGATGATTAAATTTATTCTTTTCCAAGAAAAAACGTAGTAATTTTCTTAAGTCCTCCAAGTGTAATAAATAAGTTTTATGGTGATAAACCTCTATGCTGATTCATTGTTTTAAGTAAAACAACTACAAATTTTTTTTACGCTATAACTATAATTTTTAAAAGTCAACCATTGAAATGCTGGTAAAAGTACAGTTAATTTAATTGATTTAATATTTTTTTTTTTTCAATATTAACATAAATTGAATTTAATCTATCTGTAAATTGACTGCAACCAGTGACATTTTTTCAAGCTTTCAATGATGAAATTGAATTGAGTTTGATATCAGAATAAATGGAAAAAGAGTTATATTCCATATTAAATCGAATTAAAATAATAATAATCATGACAAATTATAAATAACAGGGGAAATATAGGAATATAAAGACAGTAAAATAAATATAATATAATTTGAGTAATAATGATAACTGGGAAATTTGTGAAATGTAAAATGTTGGCAAATAAAATCATACATACCTCCACCATTACGATAAACAAGAAAAGGAAAACGCCAAACATTTCCTATTCCAACAGCATATCCAATACATGATAGAACAAATTCAGTCTTATTCGCCCAACCAGTCCGTTCCACAGGTAATTCCACGAATGCTCCACCCACACCGAATGAAAGCTTTTTTTTTGCCTAAAATATTTAATATTCACATCAAAGAGATCAGCAATTATTATATAGAAATATTATGAATAATAAATTTCCTTTGGTGTATATATGAAATTTCATCTACAATTCTTTTATCTTTGGCGCATTTTTTATTCAGTTTTTTGTTCCATTTCAGCTTGATTTTTCTCGATTTGAAATTCATTGAAGCTTTTGGAATACCAACTCGCTTTGAGTTTATCTCGCTCTTCTCTCAACCAAACCTTGTCGAGCAGTCGACACCACGATCGAAACGTTTGTCTTATCTCTCTCAGCAATTTTTCGTTTTAACGTCCAAGCTGTCGAATTTCCGGTGGTTTTTTCACCATTGAAATCGAAATCACAGCTGACAACGTGGATTCAACGCCCTTATACGAATGGTTAGAGATTCGATAGGGCAATATGTTGATGTGTCGCCGTGAATTGTATTTACACTACCACACATATCACCGAAACACTACAGACTATTTAGCAAGGTTGCAGTTTAAACGGACAATTTAATGGTTTTCGGGTTGTACAAAAGCCCGAGGGATGCCCAGGTGAACACTCAAATCGCGCTAATGGATCTGCTACGTTGATTTTCTCCCAATGAAATAAAACAACTTTTTTATTGACCTGATAATTATTTACGCAAGCTAAAATAAATTGGGTTTATTTTAGTTAAATTGGTTAAAGAATTTCCATACGAACCGTGGGCGATTCCAGACGATCTAATGTCATTATGAACAGCACTGTACAACACCCAAAAAAGGACTGACTTAATTAAACGTCATAGAGTAATATATAAATTATCTTGTCGTTATCAACGCTCAATCTTGTTCAATGATTGGGAAAACTAAAGTTGATGGCCCGCTTTGTCGTCTAGTACGTGTATAATATAATTGTATATATAAATCTTATCACTAAACATTCCGCTCTCTCGATGTATATCGTACAAAATTTATATTTTAAATTATATCACAACAATGCGTTCAAGACCATATATCCTATCGGGAATTACCTATATAATTGAATCACATCGTTAACAGATTTGAGACGTTATCAATTGTTTGGAAAAATGTAATTAAGCATACTTTCTGATATGGAAAATTTTTAAATATTATAAAAACTCAGTAATTCATGGAATTTTTGTATTTAAATATCTTTATGAATATTTTCTTCATGTTCAATTATTCGGTATTTTCCAAGAAAAAGTAACTTTCGAGAAATACTTGATCGAGGATAATGAACTAGAAACATATTTAGAATTGTAATTAATTCTCTCTTAGTTAAACTTCAATTTAATTATTCGTTAAACGATTTATTTTAATGATAAGATAAATACGTCTTTGGGTTAATCCTGAACCATAGCACAAATTTAATCACTACACAGAAATAGATACCGAACTGTATAAAACAGATTACTTTTCATCTGTCATAATAAAAGTGTGTAAAATATTTGTTCTATTACTCTTTCTCACATTATGAATAGAAAAATTGAAATATCATAAAAAAGAAAAACTTTATGTTGATTCAAAATCCATTTTAGAATTAGTCTCTTATAAAAAAAATTTTATTCATTCTCATGTATCTTTTTTTATTCAAACAGAGTTTGCATTTAAAATTATTGACCTTGATATGTAGTTAAATACGCTGGTACTCAAGTGATAATACCAGCTTACCGTTCGACACTTACGAAGAACTCGAAGTAACCTACGAACACTGAATAATCAATGAAAGATTAGACAAGTCTTTATCAGCTATGGCATAAATAAATCTCAGTTTACATATTAACATTTCGATTTGTCATATTATTTTACCAAAATTCGAAATTAATGAATATTTTATCTATCTACTCAAAAATAATCCACCTTGAATGATAGCTCATAATTTGTTTCACTAATGTGATAAGTTCACTACTCTTTATGTTAATGATACTTAAAATGCGCAGTTATTTTCTATTTAAAGGAAATGATAAAAAAAAATGACAAACATTCATTAAGATTACATTGCCAGATAAGGGAAAAAAACAGTTGGCAAGCAGACTTTATTAAGTTAAACGCGAATTGTAATGAATGTCTTTAAAACTATATAACAATTAAACACCAAAATAGACAAATCTGATAGTGATCAGCAATAGTTTAGTGAAGATTTATCAAAAAACTCAGTGCTGGTTTATAACAGAGTTTATAACAATGCTTTACATTATTATACCAATTCTTTTTTTTAGCTGTCAATATCTAGTTAAATGTGATACAGACTTGAATAATGCAAACATAGAAGATTCATGTAATCAAGTTTTATCTTCTCAGATGGTTGAGGAAATTGATAATTATGCTCACATTGTCAATAACATTATCAACGTAGCCATTAATGGTAGTTTTAAAGGGAAAACATGGGATGAATTAGATAAATTCATTGTCGAATTTGGCGCAAGATTCACTGGTACTGAAAACTTGGAGAGATCCATTGATTATGTTCTTCAACGATCGGAGGAACTTGGACTACATAATGTACATGGAGAAAAAGTTAAAGTTCCTCGATGGATTAGGTATAAACTATTTACATGTTACTTATTAAATTCAGAACAATAATTAATCTATCGTAAAATCAAATTAGCCTTTTATATTAAAACTTTTAGTATTAATCTCTTATTCTCATTATTCAAAGTATTGAAAAATTGAATACTGATCTATGTTTTCGGAATCAATAACAAATCATTCAAACTATTTCAATACAGAGGTCAAGAAACAGCAACACTTCTTTCACCTTGGAAAAAAGACATAAAAATTCTAGGATTAGGATATTCAGTATCAACACCTCCTGAAGGAATAATAGCAGAAGCTATTATTGTTAAAACTCTTGAAGAATTAAAAGCAAGATCGAGCGAAGTGAGTAATTACTATTAATTTTTGTACTATCTACTCATGAATAAAGATTAAATAAAAAATTTTTATGTTCAGGTTTCAGGAAAAATAGTGATTTATAATCAAGAATATCTTTCTTTTGAATATTCAAGTGAATACAGCTGGGTAGGAGCAACAGAAGCAGCAAAATTTGGAGCAGTAGCGACACTAATTAGATCTGTTACTCCTTTCTCTATTTATACACCTCATGCTTTCATAATTGGATACAATGATTCTATTCCTAAAATTCCAGCTGCATCAATAACAGTTGAAGATGTCAATCTTCTTAGTAGAATGGTGGCAAGAGGAAAGAATATAACAATTAAATTAGTAATGCAAGAGCAGCGTTTACCTGATATTGAATCTCGTAATGTCGTCGCAGAAATTGCTGGCACTAGTAGACCAAACAAAGTAGTAGTGGTATCAGGCCATATTGATAGCTGGGATGTTGGTCAAGGTGCAATGGATGATGGCGGTGGAGCTTTTGCTGCCTGGAATTCATTGGTACTTTTGAAAACATTAAATTTACAACCAAAAAGGACTATTAGGTATAATTTAATTATTCCATATTCATTGAAAGTACTCACTCGAATCAAAAGCACGTTGTGAAATATTACAGAGCTATCATGTGGACAGGCCATGAAATGGGTATTATTGGAGCAGAGAACTACATCAAAGAGCATAAATCTGAGGAAAATGATCTCCAATTAGTAATGGAATCTGATACAGGAACATTTTTACCACTTGGCTGGGAAGTTACTGGGTCTCCGGAAGTCATTTGTGTCTTGAAAAGAATAACTAAGTATAAAAAAAAACCATAAATAGACATTTCAACCAGATTAAATCAATTGTTTTTAGGTTGATGTCATCAATGACTCCCTTAGGAGTTAGATCACCTTTTGTAGCACCCGATATTTGGAATTGGGTTCAAGCAGGAGTCCCAGGAGCTTCATTATGGAATCAGAATGAACGATACATTTGGTTTCATCATTCAGAAGGTGACACAATGGATGTTGAAAAACCAGAAAACTTAGACATGGCAACAGCTTTATTTGCAGCAACTGCTTATATTGTAGCTGATATGAGTTTAGATCTTCCGCACAGCAAGACATGAATCCTCTTACTCTGAAAGCTGTTAAATAAATATTAATGGAGTGTGATATGCTAGTATAATATTTAAGGATTGTTGAGAAAGATAAATATAGAATTTTACACTTATTTTTTCACCAACTTATTCATTCAAGTAAATTTACTTTATTAGATTTAGATTAGAACTTTTTTTAATTTATCAGTTAATTTGCATACAAAAATAATGAATAATTCAATTCATTGATACGAGTGCTATCAGTTTGGACAAATATTTACTACAATGATCGAATTATATTGAGATTTATATTCTAAAAAAAAATTTTCAAATGTTTAATGTAAATATTAGTTCGAATAAATGAAAATAAATTGTTACAATGGAAATAATTCCGAATATAAATGAATTTGAAAATTGTGATTTGTAGTTGATTAATTATGGTCACTTATGTCGGTAATAAAAACCATCCCAAATGACATTGAGCTGCATTAACAATTAGAATATGAAGCAGTTGGGAATGCAACATTTAATAAATAATGATATTCAAAATTAAATATTATTAGCAATGCATTATATTTGGGTTGGTGTCATAATGATTTCTCTTGAGAATTGATCATTTCATAATAACGGTCCAGATGTTAGCAGTAAAGTAAATGTTGGCATTTCAGGTGCTTCATTATGGACTAACAACGATCGATACTGTTAACTTCACCATTCAGAAGGTGATACCATGGAAATGAAGGTACTAGAGAATCTAGACGTGGTAATGCAGCTTTGTCTACATTCCTTGCTTAAATTACTACTAATATCAACAGGGATTTTCCACATAATATAACACTTGATAGTTTTAGGTACGTTGTTATGAATATAAATGAGCAATCAGAAAACCCTGGCATTCATTGTTAAAATATGTTACATTCAAGAAATAATGAATATTTGACAGTAATAATAATATACAATGAGCTGTATATTATTAAAAATTGTTTTTATTTTTAAAATTAATTCATACTTCAATTTCATTGCAATGAATAGGTTATGGCAGAAATATCATCAACTGCTGTTGGAGAAGGGGGTAATGAGATTCATTAGAATAATGAGTAATTATTTTGGAAAAAATGTATAAGTTATTATGTGAATGAAATGGACTTTTTAATTATACATTCTATGAATGAATGCAGTACCAATATAAATGGACAATTATTCTCCAACTCCTAGTAAATATAATGAGTCTGTTATGACTAATGCATCCATTATAGTCATATTTGTAGATAAAGAAGCTCAGTGATGACGTGAACATTGTAGTGAGCAAAACGAACTCTTAATTGATATTATATAGTTCAATGGGCAATTATTGAATTATTATATATATTTTTGATGTGATGGATAATAATTAGATAACTTTGTTTCAATATATTTGCGATTTAAATTTGTCATAATTAAATTTTTACAAATTAAAAAAAATTAATTTTTGACAATCAATTAACTTTAATTAATCTAAAAGAAAATAATCAAAATGTTTTTGAGAATTGAAATATTGATGTTAATTTTTTCATTTACTTTTAATGTAATAATTCAAGTTAAATGTAAAAATAGCCATTGGAATTTCAATGCGAGCTCGTGCAGCAATGTTTTATCTCCGGAAGTAATAAATGAAATCAACAAGTACTCTCCGGTTGTTAATCAGATAATAAACACTGCAATCAATGGAAGTTTTAAGGGGAAAACATGGCATGAACTTGCAGACTTTGTTGATGAGTTTGGATCAAGATTTACTGGCACTCAAAACCTTGAAAATGCTATAGACTATGTACTTGCAAAGTCAAGGGATTTGGGGTTGGAAAATGTCCACGGAGAATCAGCACCTGTTCCTCGATGGGTTAGGTAACTATTATATAAATATATTACATAAATAAATAATGATTAAAAAAGTTCATTAAGAATTCCGAGGAAATACAAGTAAATATGTTGTAATTTTTGTGAAAAAGCTTTTATGTATCTCATTTATGCAAGAGTTGAAATGTAGTTCTTTGTAAAAAATAAAAATGTACAAAAATAAATCCACAAATGGGTGTTGCTCTTTAAAAAAATAATCCAAGTTAAATTTTATGTATAAAAATAAGTTGGTATAAAATAACGTGAATAAAACTAAGAACAACTTCTATAGAGGACAAGAGTCGGCGACACTTTTATCACCACGTGAAAAAGACATAAAGATGCTGGGATTGGGATATTCAGTAGGGACATCGCCGGAAGGAATAACAGCGGAAGCCATCGTAGTAAAAAGTTTCGAAGAACTGGAAATGCGTGCTGAAGAAGTAAGTTTTTCTTGATAGTAACTCAATTTCGTCTGAATATGAGTATTCTAAAAAATTTCTTTCTTTCAAGGTGGCTGGGAAAATAGTTGTTTATAATCAAAAGTATGAGAGCTATGGAAAAACTGTAATATACAGATCTAAAGGAGCTGATGCAGCTGCAGCACATGGAGCTGTAGCTGTGCTAATTCGATCAATTACACCTTTCTCTATTTACTCTCCGCATACAGGAATGATGGATTACAGTGGAAAGGTTGTGAAAATTCCAGCAGCATGTATTACTATTGAGGATGCTAATTTACTGGGAAGAATGGCAATAAGAGGAAGAAATATAACAATTAAATTAGTAATGCAAGCACAGCAGCTTCCTGATGGTGAATCTCGAAATGTTGTGGCAGAAATTACTGGAAGTGGTAAACCAAACAAAGTTGTTGTGGTATCGGGTCACATTGACAGTTGGGATGTTGGTCAGGGGGCAATGGATGATGGTGGGGGTGCATTCACTTCTTGGAGTTCTTTGGTATTACTCAAGTCATTGAACCTTAGAGCAAAAAGGACTATTAGGTAATTAAACCGCAGTACCAAGTTCTTAAAGACCTATTAAGAATATTGTATACTTTGAAAAATGCTTAGATCTATCATGTGGACAGCAGAAGAAATGGGAATCATTGGAGCGAATTACTATATTCAACAGCATAAAGCTGAAGAAAAAGATCTTCAATTAGTAATGGAGTCAGATATAGGAACATTTATGCCACTTGGATGGGAAGCTACTGGATCTCCAGAAGTTATTTGTATCCTTAGTAAAATAACTAAGTATGAAATGAAAAAATATTTTTAGGATAAATGTAAAGATAAATGATACAATTATTTCTTTTAGAATGATATCAACAATGACTCCTTTAGGAGTTAAAATGCCTCACAGTGGACCAGATATCGAAGGATGGGTGAATGCAGGAATACCAGGAGCTTCTTTATGGAATAAAAATGAACGATATTTTTGGTTCCACCATTCAGAGGGTGATACTATGAATGTAGAGGCACCAGAGAATTTAGATATGGCAACAGCATTATTCGCAGCAACTGCTTATATTGCTGCTGATATAAGTTTGGATTTCCCTCGACATAATTAATCAATGATAACCGGATTAATGTTTTTAGAAATGTAACTTAATTAAAAATAATGAACCTTACTTAATAAAATTAAGAATTAAATATTTATCAAGCTTTTTTTTAACGTTATATTAACCTAGATAACATATTGTATAATCAAACATGATATGAATTAAATTAATTTCATCAGTTTGATAAAAAATTCAGTAAGTACATTCATCTTAGTTTCTACAACATTATAAATACATTTTTAATTAATATTACCTGGTTCCATTCTGTAAAGCTTTAAATCTTCTTTCAAATTGAACATAAATTAATCAAGTTCTGAATTCTGAGAGAAAACTTAATTTGGATAATATTGGAAGCCGCATTCAATCGAAACAAATAGACTCAATCTTTTGCGTAAAAAATAAAACACAGCTGACCGGTTAATGACCGCCAAATGAAAACGAGAGTTATCCCTTCCACTTGAATTCGAGGATCGAACACTTCCGAATTCTGACAAGTGACAGCGTTGGTGATGGCGCGTAAATTTAAAAATTTTCAAAATAAATAGTAAAATATTCATTAAGTAAGTAATTAAAATCAAGTAATTATTACTATGAAACAATTTTTTATTATAATTAGTAGTTGTAGAGAATGTCAATTTACTTGAAGAAAATAAAGGGAGTTGAGGAAGACCAATTCACTTGGGAACAATAATACAGCAGCTGTATTTAACTTTAAAATATGTAGTTTAAACAGCAAAAGTTTCCGTCAGGACTAATAATTAGTATCTGAAGAGTAATTATTCTAACATAAGAGAGAATTTGTCTTTGTATTTATTATATACAATCTAAAATATAACTACTGTATTACGGTACCCTAGTGTATCAATTTATCCTCACTTTACTTCTTATTTAATGGTTTTTGTATAAGGGATAGAATACCGTGAAATGATTCGAATAAAATTTACAAAGTAAATTTAATATTCTCTTTATCTAAAATTAGTATCCTTTACACAATTACATCGTACAAATGTTTAGGCCTCGATCGATTTTGGTGCGATCTACGGCTATAATGTGCGTAAGTTTTTCCAACTACCTAGGAAACACTGTTATATAAATATCCAAAGTCTCTCCAGTCTATTATGCAGCTGTGGAATTGTTCACTGCTATCAATAAAAACTGGAAATATCAACAACGCCGTTTGTTATATTAATGTATCCTCATCTTGCGGCTGGAAGACCATCAAAAGAGAATGTTGAGATGCTGTTCTTTGACTCGAGTTAAGTAGAGCTGTTTTTTCTCCACCACTACTATTTAAAGAACAATCTGGAGAACTTCCATCGAATCCTATATAATTCGTGGCTGTACTACTTGTTGATGGAATGTCATTCAAATCCGGAGAAGCTAATGGTGGATGGTTGGATTTATGTCCATCCATGGACACCAGCTGCATGCTGTAAGATTCGCGGTATCCCGATGTACTCGATGTATCTTCATCCCAAGAAACATCTGACTGTGGATGAAGCAGATGGTGATGATGTGGATGGTGATATTGATAATCTGCTGGGCTTAAATTTACATTTGCTATCCGGTCTGATTCACCAACACGAACTGAGAAACTTCTTCGTGATCGTACTGATGATGATTCTGAAGGAATGTTGAAGTTGGTATCTGATGTGGTTGCTGGAGGTGTTAGAGATGATGGCACTAACAAAGAGTCTTGTGGATAATCTGATCTATGATGAGAAACCTTCAAAAAAGAAAGTCTAATCTATCTTTTATCAATATTAATAAAAGCAGAGTTGAATAGCAACGTTCATTACCTCCATATGAGTTCTGCGACTTTTCCGAAGACGAAATGTCTTCTTGCTTTGGCCCATCGAACGCTGCAAACGAGGTCTGTCTTGACGGGAATCTCCTGAGCTGTCGTCGATCGGACTGCTCGGGCTCAGTTGACTCGTTACAGTTTCTCCTAGTTTTGAAAATAATAAAATAACCAATGATAATAAAAACACGTTTTCTTTGTTCTTTAGTTATATTCGATTCTACTTTGAACATTCCTATTCCTACACAATCTTATTGGTGCTCTACTTCAGAATCTTTCCCGTCGATTTCGTAGACTGCCATACCTAAATACAGACCGTTACATGCTTTACAAAGACATGATAAAGGTATACAGATCACACAAATTTTATGAATATGAATGTATTCCAAAAGATTTTTAAAAAGTTTTTATGACTTATTTTTTATTATTAAACTGTTGTATTTAGTGCTGTTCCATTGATGAAAGAAGACTTCTAAAAGTCTTAGAAAAGTGCTGCTAATGGTTCGTGCCAATTATCGGGTGGTGAAATTTACCTGACGCGTGCCTAAACTCTACAGAAGAGACAAAGCGTAGTTTAGGCGTCTTTTGACGTGTTAATGGAGGATGAGGCTTAAGATCGTTACGTTCATCACTAGTAGTAGATTGGAATTTATCTGAAACATGCCACATCGAATGTCTAGCACATAAGGAGAAAGATGATATAACAAAAACACAGACCATTTCATGATTTCTGCAGACTCTGGTTTGCCTGTTATAAAATTGATGAATTGAATGATCACTATTCTACGTGTTGCTTCGATTCATTTGTCCATTCATTAGTTATTCTCTTAGACAACGTCAACTCGCGTGCAGTTCATATAGCAATCGATTCAAATGTTTTGGGAAAGAATAATTACTTATATAAATATAAACAATTTCAACAATTAATAGTTTACTAGGAAATACAACTTTATATAGTAAATTTAATTATTTACGTTAGTTAAATATACTGTTTTAAGAATGTATAAAAAATAGTAAAGATGTGTTACTTACATAAAATGAAGAACGATTATTTGATCACATTGAATAAATTTTTTTGTTTTATCATAATAAGGAAGAATAAAAATTGATGAAACTACATTAAATGGATAAAAATTGAATATTGATGAAATGATTGATGAAAAAACATCAAGAGGATAAAATCGCAAAAGCATAGATTCTTAAGCTGAAAGATAAAGAAACAAGCTTTCGAAGCAACTACGTAGTGTGCTAAATAGATCTAAGCAACAATTAAAGATTAAAGGGTACCAACTGTTGGACATTACCATTGTCTAAAATACTGCTATATTTTTAAAATTTGGTGTGTGAGTGAATATGTCACAAAGAGAATTGATAAATTTAATCGTTGAGTGATAAGAGAAATAAATTATTAGTAAATGAATAAGTATTTTATCATTGAGTGGTTCAAGGCGAGAAATAGTGGAGTATAATAGGAGATATATCAACCAGTAGTTAATAATTAATTATAATAATAATGAAGCATTAGTAGAGGAAAACACACGCATAAGGTATACGATTATTATTTTGTGAGGATTATTATAATAATTAGGAATAATATAAATAAATGAAATAACCATTCAGAGACATATTCTTACCTCCGTTCCCTAGCTAGCATTGGAAGCAACGGAATGATCAGTGTGTCAATTGCATGACACGAAGAGGTATCAACGCATTTGCGTGTCAACTCGCCATCAATTTCCGAAAAAATAAAACAATATTTTTATTTTAATAGTCTTAATTTTGTGCTTCTTTCAAAAAATGCACTTAAAGTATACTGAATTTATTTAAATAATATTGAAGAAATTTTAATTTTTTTTTCATTTTTTAAACTTAAATTGTATTGTTTTAGATTTTTTCTTGCCGTTGATCGCACACACGTCAGCCTCTTCGATACGAGTCTCTCCTATATCATTATAATTTAAATAATTAAATAATTTCATAGAAAACTATCTTAAGAGCAGTGTCCTATAGACAATGGCTCGATCCAACTGTGGTAAAGATTATAAATATATGAAATAGCGAGTTATTTTTTTTCGTTAACTTTTTAAAGAGGAATAGTTAATTTCTTTTTTTTCTCTTTTTCTGAACTCATTGAATTTTAAGTTAAATTCAATTTCGATTGAAATTACTATCACATACACACATACTTTATGGTAATATGATCTTTATTGAAAGGAAGGATTTCATTTCAAAAGATATTTCCTCTCAAAGCAGTGAAAGGTGATAAAAATTGAAAGGAATAGTTTTAAAAGGATCAAACATGGTTTTGTATATTCTTAAGAATGTCGCTAATATCGTTTAAAAAGAAACTCGAAGTATATTCGATTTGATTTGTATCCTTTTTCTGCCACTCAACACAAAATCAGCCACTGATAAAAGAAACTCCGTTCGATAGAGACTTGTAGATAGTAAAACTATTTATTATACCTGCCGTAACTGCTTGCTGATCAGCTCGTTGTATATCTTCAGGTTCAATATCGTGATCTAAACTTCCTTTAAGAGTTGATGAACCACTGCTTGCTGCAGTCGATGCAGATCCTAATACGGTTGTTTTTTGATATGAACTTGACAATGGAATAATACCATCAATTGATCGTCTAACACCTTAAAACAGTTTGAATAGTTATGATAGTAATTTGGAACTGAAAATAATCTTGCTATTCATCTGACCATTAATTAAACTGGTAATACCTCTAGAAATACTCGCTCCATTGATTTGGGCAGATCCTTGAACAAGCACCGAAGGCTTAATGTTACTTGCATTAATTGACTGTTGAACTGCCTGAGGAAGTGAATGAAGTACTGTTGAGTGAGATCCTGGCGTTTCGGCTGGTGTTCGGCTAATATGGACTCTAGACCCAAGCTCTCCACTCCATAAATCATTCAATAATGAAGGTCTTTGGGTTCGGGGTTGATTATCATTGTTTGGAGCACTTGGATGCATATCTACTACACTTCTTTTTGGTTCCGGTTGCAATTCATCTAAAAATAAAAAATATGAGTATAATGGTTTGTGATGAAGGATCTGTTAGTATAAAATGATAAATAATCTAAATTAATTTCAATCAATGCACATTTAATTGAAATCAGATACTGTTGGTATAATCTTCGTCAAATTAAATTTGCAAATTCAACGTCAATTATGTATACAATGTCTAATTAAATGTGAAATTTAGTCAAAGCTAATCAAAATTGACCTATTTACAGAGAAATTTTATTTTATTAGATATTTTAAAGATCAAAATTTCATTATAAATTTTGTAGAGTCGCAAATAAAGAAAGTTAGATTTTAATATTCAATATTAGTGAAGTCTTTTTTCCAATTTATTCTTACTGAATATTTTAAGTATCAAAATAATACATTACCAAATTTACGGTCTTCAATTTCTTCTTTAAGATCACGTAGCTCATGAATAAGATCTCCAAGTAAAGTTCCTCGAGATTTAGGAAATGCAAGGATATCTCCATTGATTTTAGCTCTAATTATACTCTGCATATTTCTTTCATGTTCTGAAATTGGTGGTTGACCGATTTTGTGTACAATAAATGGCAACATTTGGATATAAAGAGCTGTTCGATGTGTTACAACAAATTCTAAAAAATTCCATAAGTGTATAGAAGCTTCATTTCTTTTATTAAGTTGTCGCATTGTCCTTAAAATTTTGGGCCACTCTACTTTAAGTTCAGTTTCAAAGCAGATAGTCATGATTTTAAGTGCTGAAACAATTTTAAACTCATGAAACAAGACAATTTTCAGTATTCAAAGATATATATATGTACATATATTAAGGTAAATAATTTACCAAGAAACGCAACTTGATACAAAGACATGGACAATTTAGTTGAAATTTTCGGGTCTCTTGCGGTGAATGTCAAACTTCCTGTTCGCATGTCAGTTGTAGCTTTCAGATTTTGAACAGTCATAGGAGTAATTTTAGTACTAGTAGGCCAAAGTGTATTTAAAACAGCCACAAGAGCAAAGCTAATATCAGTCTGTCTTAATCTTGGTACATCTTTTCTTCCGGTACCCACACGAAGGAATAGCGGAATGAGTAAATTCAACAACATATTCTCTGTTCGTATTTGAGATGCAAACATAGCCTGGCCACCACAAACATTCTCCAAAGAGTACCCTTCTCCCAATGAGATGACATGAAGTGCAATAAGACGGAGAACTGTAGAACAAAAATGCTGCGGTGGTATTTTACTCATTAGAGCTGCTGAAGCACCGGAAGTAACTTCTACTTGACCTGTATCGCCGACAATTAATGCTTGGCATGTGCTTAATAGGGTTTTTAAATACTGGAAGTGTGCTATGTAGGGATATCTAGAGAGAGTTTCATAAATTCCTTTTAATAGATCACTTGCAGCTTCCCAATCAGTATTTCGTCGAACTGATGCTTTTTTATAAATTTTACTAAATGTTTTGTCCAAACGCCGGAGTATTACAGTTAAAGCTGGCCTCATATCATCATTAGACCACTCAGTTGATGGTAAGACGTCATTCATATACCTTCTAAGTCCTCGACAACCCATTGTTTCTGCATCATATGGAGCCATTTTTAGCAGGCTGTTTGCGATATCAGCAAGGCGCTAAAAGTACATATTTTAATATGTTAAAAGTTCTTTTTAATTGTAATATATTGTGAAATGAAATATGAGAAAAAAAAATTCCTCACCACATGACACTTTGAATCTAACAATTCAATAACTTTCCCATCTTGAGACTTTTTATTCAACTCAGCTAGCCTTACAGAACACTGAGCCACAAAATCTCCCACAATATTCAAAAGAGTATCTCTCGGTCGCCGAAATTCATTTTTATGGGAGCTTTCAGCATCATCATTATCTCTATCATATAAATTCCGTACTTTAGAATGTTCCATATACTTTGTCGTGTGAGTTTCATCTTCAAAGTCAAAGCCAGGAGAGTAAGGACCTTTTCCATAATTCCTTTGGCTTGATCCTTTGTGCTCCGGACTAGACTTCTGTGGTCCATTGTAATACTTTGTTAATGCTTCTGAATTATTCACAAGAGTTTTTACAGCTATAGCTAACTGATTAATAATTTCTTTTTCTGTTTTCCCCTCTTTATTGTAGGTTGGCAATTGTATTTGCTGGACATAACAAGGAAGAATAGCTTCTAAGATAATCTAAAAAAGGAAAAAATGATAAAATTAAATTTTTAGTGAAGCATATGAAATATTCAGTAAAACCTACATTTTAACTCAAGTACAAAAGAGAACAAATTATTATAATTTTTGATATAAATTACTTTTATTTCATGATGATTCTGAGTATTATTATGATTGTTAATAAATAGAGTATTTTTACAAAGCTTAGTAATGAAAACTCCAGTGTAGGATAAAAGAATTTATTATTCTTACCAACATCTGTTGACCACGAATAGAATCTGCAGCATAAGCAATCACCATTACACTCAGGGCAATACAATCCAATACTGACACCATTTCAGTTTCATCGTGATAACAGAAATCAATAGCTTTTAGAGGCTTTTCTTCTTTTACCAATTCCCCAATGTTCAATGGATCTGGTGAAGGTGTTTCCAAACTCATTAGTAAATTGAATAAACACACTGAAGGTACCTTATGAGCTTCCCCATGAGTACTCATTTCATCAGTATCTAAAATTGTTGAAACACTTCCAAACATTTGGAGAATAAATGGTTTTCGGTTCATCAAATAAAATTGTTTTACTGCATACTCCACAGTAGTGGTAACAAGTTTATTCGTTTGATGAGTAGCATAAAGTTGAAGTAATGAAGGCATGATCAAAAGATAACCATTAGTAGAAAAGATATTCTTGAAGTTATGTGCTGCATTTATGTAAGTTGCAACAACATAGCGAAGAATACACGAATCTTCACTATGTAAAATTAAAGCTCCATTTAAGACATTGAGGAAAAGATGAATGTCACCAGAATAAGCAAAGTTTCCTGCCATTGCTTCAAACATTCTAGCAATTAAGCGTACCCACATAAATTTATGCATTACATCTAATCCAAGCAATTCCTTCAAGAGTTAATAAGAAAAATATTAATGTCATAATTTTTCAAATATTTTGTGATTAGTAAATCGTAATCTTACCCTTCCAATTTCTCCACCTTTATAAAGATCTAGGTCGGCTTCGAGGGCTTTTCTTGGGAAGGCTGGAAGCTTCATCAATTCTTCGTGTAGAAAAACTACTCGTTGAACTACCATATCCACATTTTTTAAAATAGCCCATGTCAGTAAGACTTTTCCTATTTCTACAAATTTATGTACGAGCTCTTGTCTTTGGAGAGCATTAAATGCATCCTCTGGTTTCATATGGACTAGTTCGAGTTGTGGATATTGAGAACGTTTGAAAAAATAATAGTCTCGTACGTATGAAGAGGGATTATGAATTTGATCTGTAATGAACGGTAAAATAAATGTTTAGAAAATCGTTTTTTACCAGGAAGAAGTATTTAATCTAAGAATGAAGGTGAAAGTCCTAGACTACTTACGTGTTTTATAGTCAACAAGAAAGTACTCTTTATGCTTCTGTTCCTCGATCCCGAAGAAATCCAAGGACTCCCTGAGAATCTGACAGAACTGAGTGTCTTCCTGAACAGGAAACTGCGAAGGAATTCCACCAGCGTCAGGATCTTGAGGACCATGAACTATTATTTTCTTCGCAGACGGAACATTAGCAGTTAAAAGAATCGAAGCATCACATTGTTCTTTTCTTAAAATTTGTTTTAAGTCTTTAAACATTATACCATGAACACTATGAACAACCTAAAATAATATTTATTCCAAATAAAAAATCTATCCAAGACAGCATTACTTAATCTATTCAATAAACCTACCATCCAAAGTATTGACAAAGCTGTTCCAATTAATTTTTGTCCTTCTTCATGAGGTGATCGGACATAGAACATTACGTAACCAATAATATAGTTGTAAAGAGCAAAAGCTGCTTGTTGTGGAAGCCTTGGTACAAATCGAATGAGATGACGTAAGATTTTAAACATTAGCTCTTGTTTTTCTCTTGTCAATCGTTCCAAGACATAACGTAGAAATAGAGCACTATCTTCAACGAGACAGCTCCAGATTACTTGATAAGCTACTTCATAAACAGAATTGCCATCATCAGAAACAGCTGCATCATCGAGTAAATTAATAATTTGAATGATTGCCGAGCATAAAGATGATGGAAATAAAGATGGAGCTGATTGTCCATGATGTGAGGAGCTACGTGGTGCAGTTTCTCCACCATCATCATCGACATTTCCTTCATCATGGTCATCTCCAACTGGACTTGGTTCATAAGCTGCTTGCACTGTGATGGGAATAGTCGTTATTAAAAAATTTTCCCGTTCTTCTCGTTTTTTATCATCTTGAGCTTGCAATGCTTGTTTTATTAACTCTGTTTGTTGTTTTTTCCGAGTCTTTGTAGCAGTCACTAATGATCTCTGTTGAAAAACAATTATGATAATGTCTATTAATAATTTTTATATATTAATAATGGTTATATAAAATGAATATTCAGTACAAAAAATGTTTTAACGTTCAATATTAAAATACTCTATCAAATAATCTACTTACATGACGCTCTTGATTAATCGTCACTTCTTCAACCTTCGTTTTTACCTGTGGCATCCATGGAGGATCTACTACCGGGAGGGATTCAATTCCAATTTTAGGAGAAGGTAAAGTAAACTCAATTCCAGGTGGTGGTACTTTAAATGTTAAGTGAGCAGGCTCTTCCATCCTCGGCCATACTTGATACCTTAATTTCCATAAAACTTGGAATTTCAAAATTGCATTTATTCGATGAGATGGGTTTGAATGCTGGAGACCTTGATGCATTAACTCGCTAGCTTGATTTGGTGCTCGCACTGCAGCAATAATGAATAAAGATGCTGCAGATGCTGCTACTTCTTGGTTTGATTCTAGTAGTAACTCCCAAGCAATTGGAAGAACATCTATGAATAAGTCTTCTGACATCACCACTGCTCCTTTTACTAAAGTCGCTATTGGAGCATGAAAAGCATTTTTAACTTGCATTTTAATATAATTTAAAATCGGTGGTGGCTCTTTGTCATGTTCTTCGTCATCTTCTCCAAATTTTTTTATCGAAGGTCCAGTACGTTCCGAGTCTTGATCAGCAAGATCTTTAGAAGAATCACGATTTATTCCTGTTAATCTTCCGGATTGAGAACCACCATCAAGACTTTTATCAATTCTTCAAAAGAAAAAAAAAACAATTTTAATGAATTAAAATATTCCAATAGAAATTCAAATCATAATATATTTACTTACTTAAATTTTTTTCCTACACTGTCTTTTCTTCTAACTGGAGAGACTTGTGCACTAGTTTGATCAGACACTTTTCGACTACGTTTATCTTTCTTTCCATCCTCTTTTCTATCAAAGTCGAAAGTGGCTGTTCCATTAATTACACCAAATTTTTCTCCATAGACTTTACGTACTGATTTAATTAGTCTTCCACATGCTCTTATTTGCCTTCTATGACAATAGGGATGACAGAAATTTTGATGAGAGCAAAAAAAATTTGAAGAGCTTGCAAATTGAACTAAAACTTTCATCCACGGAAAATTCTTTGTAGTATCATCAGTATCGTTAGAATCACTTGGACTCTCTGGTGGTTGATCATCGCTCAAGATGCCTGGAGATTCTTCTCCACTAACTTCTCCACCATATCCAGGTTCTGAAGTGTCACTCCGATCCGACAGAGAGCTGACTTTTCTCTTAGATTGGATAGAATCAGCACGTCTAACAGCATCTATTGATCGAACAACTTAATAAAGAAAAGTAAAAAAAATTTTTAATTACTCGGGGCTCTACAGAAGTAACGCTACACTAGACAACAAAAAGAATTTTTTCATTTGCTCTAGGATTCTATAGGATTATCTGATATTTTATTTGAAAATAAGAAAATTAAAATTATTGTCTTCAATCAATACTTCTAATAACAAAAAAATAAATATCTAGAGGATTAGAGCAAATGTTTACCAAATATTTCAGTTGCCCAGTGCTAAAGAGACATCGGATTAAAAGCAGCTAAGTGAAAATGAAGTGGATGATCAGAAAATGCGAATGAAGTTGCATGAGCTGTGCAATATCAACATACACATTCAGGATGACTAAATCTCTTCATTTTCACCGACCTCCTAACCAATTGGAGCCAATAACTTACAAGCCTCGCATTCCGTGTCTTTTCCTTCTTTGGTACCACGACGAAGTTTAAGACTTCGTCGTTTAAATGATCCAGTAGCATTTCCAGTAGTTCCCCTACGTAGCAAAAATGGTCTGCCTGATGGTGCTTGGACCCTTTTATTTTTTTCCCTCTCAACAGCGGCTATATCTTCGGTTTGGATCGTCACAGTCGATTTACTGCTCCCCTCAGATTCGTTGTCAGGCTCGTGAAGCACAAAGCTGATTTTTCGTTCTGATCGAAAGTCGAGGGCGATTGAGTCAGATGGTTGATGAGTGGTGATAGGATTAGCGCAGCTCCACGAGCCTCTTTCGATTACCTCCCTCAACTCACCAGTCTCACGATCGCCTGCGATCGATTGTAGACTCTGAGCAGATGTTTGGGAGTGACCCATTGAAGATAGCGCCATGCTCCATCGTCGATTCGCTTCTCGGCTGTACATTCGTTCCCAAGGTGGTGGACGTTCCTTTGTAGATAGTCGACTTGACTTAGGAAGAGTTTGATAAGTCTCACGAAGAAATGCTGTGATCTCCAACAATAGTATACATGCTACCATCCGCAGAGCAATTGGACATTGGGATCCATAGCTGTTGATGCTTGCTAAAAAAGAATATCAATGATTAAAAGAAATACTAAGTTTATTATTATATAGGCTAACTTGTTTAATTTATATGTTAGATTTTACCTTCATCAAGAAAGTCTTCTTCTTCATCTTCAATTAACAATTCTCGTTGCTTGTTTTCATCTCCTACCATAGCAATAATATTATCTATATTTTGCTTGTCTTCATTAAGAAATTCTTCCAATCTCGAGCTAATAGCTTCTGCCCATTGATAAAAAAGTTTTCCCGCCGCACGTTGCAGAACATGAGTTCGTCTAAGTCCAATCGGGTGATTTCTTCCACTTAAAGGAATAGAAGGTCGAAATATTGGTAAATTTATTTTCATCCAAGTTGGCCAGTGCCCTTTATTACACTGATGGACCAAATGAGCACATTCGAGGATAATACAAGCTCGAGCAACGACAGGTGCATAAGGCTTTAATGAAAAAAATAGTTTGTTAAATTCATTGCTCATTTTTGGATATAAACATCTATTAAATAATCTCATATGATTTACCAAATCTAAAATAGCTGCCATTAAATGATGATCAGGTACAGAGCCTGGCTGGCAAGTTTCCAGAAGAAATGAAAATCTTTGCATACCATCAAAGATTGCGGTATGTGGAACAAGCCTCCTTTCTTTCAAAACAACAAGTTCAGACTCTCTTGAAGCTTCTCCGAAATCCATTGAATTTTTTCGGCTAAAATCTTGTGAATATAATGAACAATTGATTATTATATACTTCTCCTTGATTTTATCAAATTACATAAGCATTAAATTTATAAAATAAATTCACTTACGACTTCGAGGAGTCTCTTCAAGGTTTTCTTTTTTCTTTCCCTTTCCAAACCCTATTTTATTCAATTGATCCTCCATCCGTCTTTTTGCTCTTTGAAATGTTTGACTAACACTAAATAAATGATTTAATAGATGAATACAGTAGTTGATTAATTAATAAATTATTACAATACAAATTAGTGACTATAATTGGAGATACAGTTTTATTAATAGAATGAATTCGATTATTACCTGCGTCCGGGGCGGGAAACTCGATAATGTCCCCGATGAAAGCTTGCTTGTCGAACAATAGTTCCATCCGTAGGGGATTCGCTACTCTCATGACTGTCAGTTGAATCTGTTCTACCATATTCTTTTCTAAACCAATTAACTATTCCGCCTATTTGAAATCGAGTCGACTTTCTCGATTTTCCTCCTACATAAGTATCTCCAATGCTCAAATTTTTTTCACTTTGTCTTGGAGTTAACATGTGATGCTTCTTTCTCAAATTTCCAAGAGGGCTTTGGCTGACCTTAGGGTTTTCTTCGCTCAACTCAGTCTCTAACAGACTCTAAAAAATGTTTAAAAATATTTTGAAAACTTGAAATAAATTATTTATTTTTAAATATAAATGTATTTAGCTGTCATATATGGAAGTAGGTTGAGGAAAAATGAGATGTTAAGTATTTATAAATATCTTACTGCACATGTTGACGAAGTACTTCTTTTTTTAAATAAGAATTTTCTTGTTCCTCTATCATCAACTGCATAACAAGTATCTCCACCTAATTCAGCATTTTCATCCAACTCTGAATGATGAACATGTCGAATAACTCTAGTAGTTCTGATATTACTATTACATCTTTTATTAGGTCTATCTGAAGAATCTAAAATACCGCTGAGAGCAACACGTCTAAAAACACCACCATGTGTTTCCTTAACATAAGTAATAAACTGTTTTATATCACAATAAACTGCTATATTCTCTTGTGTTTTAAAATCCTTTGAGCATTTAACAAACTTCGTAACTAGAGTTTTAAAGGTACAACTTAGAATTTGACTTTCGATGTCACGAGATCCATAATTAATTCCACCATAGGATGCAGCTGCTGATGCTGCGGTGGCTGATGCTAATGCAGACGCCGTTGCTGCTACCTGACAAATTAAGCACACAATTTAAAATTATTATTCTGCTCTCTAGAGACGAAAATTATTAACTATTTAAATTAAATCTTATTACTGATGCTGTATTAGAGAATGAATTCAAAGTTCCAATTCCACCAACTCCAAAATTCGTTGCGTATCCACCTTGATTAGTAGTATCTGGTGATTTACTCGCACTTCTTTTTTGATCTATCAACAAATTGATAATTAATACAAGTAATTCATTTTTTCTTCAGTAGTAATTCATTAATCACTTACTTAATGGTGATAACAATGAAGTTGGTTCTACACAAAATCCAACATAGGAGTGGAAAAGCTCCAATATATCAGCAATTGGTTGATTACGAATCATTGCTCGAAGAGTCTTTGAGAATTGTTGAGAATCTGTTCGATAAAGTTTACTGAGAATTGTCGAAGCTTGAGTGCGACAAAAATCAGCTTGAGGTCCACGAATTCCATCAGCACAACCATTGGGACAACCGAGATGCTTGAAAACTCGAAAAATACAATTTGCCATCAGTGCAAGAGAACTCCAGTTCCGGCCTTCTAAGTCATTGCGAGGATCTTGATTATTTATTGGAGAATCGTGTTTTCTATTATTATCTGGTTTTTCGTTCACATCTGTTGCAGATCCTAATTTTTTTACAAACAAAAAATCAGATCATTCTTTAGGAACAGAGAAATTAAATTAATTTTATTTAATACTATTAATTGATAAAATAACTAAATACAATGGTAAACAATAGAATAGTACCAGCGTTACTTCCTTCATCTTGAACTGATGGTTTCAACACCCCCATATCCATTAGCAGTTCTACCAGATTGAGAATATTTTCACAAACTCGAAGAGTACAATGTGTAGCATCTCTCAGTGAGATAGAATGAATACCCTAATTAAAAAATTAATATAATAGAATGATAAGTAGAAAAAATTATTAGATGATTTTATGACAATTTTTACTTTTAAAACAACTTGATAATCAATATCTCCTTCTTTAGTAATGTAGTATGCAGATCCTGGTGCTTCTGGAATTTCATCCCCTAAATAAGTAATATTTGAATCTGTTTGAGATCTTGTTAGACTTGGTTTCCTTTCTGAACTTAATCTACTTCCATGAATACTAATGGAATCGAGCTGACTATCTATTGAACCCTGAAAACCAACATTTAAATCAATTTATCTAATCATATCCGGTTGAATATAAATAAATAAATCGAATAATTAAACTAATGAAAGTACTGCTTTTTAACTATTCAAACTAAATTATAAAACATGAATTGAGCAGTAATATTTTAAAATTAAGATAAGAATCCATGTTTGAGCAAATATTTCATAGCTAATTATTCAATTATGTTTTACCTGTCTTTTCAAATAATCTGGAGACGGTGTAGGCGTGTGCTCAGTAACAGTAATGATTGGATTTGGAGCAGCACATGGTTGACTATAAAATCTACTTTGCTTCCTTTCTACTTGTGTATCACCAATGTACCTAAGTGAATTATTTTTATAATATTATTTTTTTACTCAATAAATAAAAAATATGATGTTTACTGGAACTCATGCCAATTGCTAATTAAATTCTATATTTTCAGGCAGTCTATTTTTTTCTACCTCATTTATTGGTGCATTAGGATCTAATTAAAAATTATATTATTTTGCGCAAAAGTTATTCTAATTTTTTCAATGATTTTCAATATTTTGAATTTGTAATATTTACATAAAACATAAGAGCGTCTATTAATAAATGTAACATTGGTTAACTATTATTAAGTAGTGTTGATAAGAGTGTGCTTTAAAATACTATACGTGCGGTACAAAAGCTTAAGTAAAGCACGAATGTGAAAAGCCCTGATAGAGTTTATATATTGCAGGGTGCAAAGAATAGTCGGAGAGATGTTTTTATGACTTACCCACCCGCGGTCAGCTCGTTAATCAAGCAGCTGAATACGTTTTCGAAGTAAAAGGGAGCGAATGAGAGAGAGAAAAGAAACACATACACAGAAAGAAGTTACGAATATTGTAGGGTATAGATTGCGTTAAAAGATAAATTATTACAAGTTAAAAAGACTAAATTAAAATATGTCCTTAATTAATTTCTATAATTAATTGAAAATGTTCCATTTTAATAACTCCTAACTAATTTTGCTGCTAAGTTACAATTATTAAATGTCACGTAGTGACAAAAAATAAGACTCACTGCTAATTTTGTATAATAAAAAATTCGAAAAATTAGATCATAAAAAAATTTAATTATATTTGTCATGAATTTATACCTGAGACTCGGCATGCTTTTTCCTTTAATTAAATTGGATGGATAGGCCATTCTATCAACATCACGAGCATCAAACGTTTGTGATGATGTTGGCGTTGGTCGAGTTAATTGATCATCTCCAGTATCAAGACTCCGATGACATTCTTGTTCCTATCGGGAATAATTATTTGATGAATATTTTTATACATATATGTGAGTAAATAGAAAACTATAGTAATCACTTTTTCTAATTCCTTTGGTTCATCTTGTCCTATTTTTTCTAAAGCTTTTTCAGACTTGGATAATAATTTTGTTTCGACAAATGCCTTAAGATCAGCCATTTTCATCCTTTTCTTACTCTTTTCACTTGCTCTTCTCGTATGACTAACTTCTGGTTCTTGATTTTTCGTTCCCGTGTAAGGAAGATCTGCAATTGTCGCCAAATCTGACATTGTTGAAGGTTCCCGAGCATCGGGTATTGCCATTAAATCCTTCGAATCTTCTTTCTTCTTATTTTCCGGACTTTGATAAATTGATACCTCAATTTTGGGGATAGGAAGTGAATTGCTCCGTCTTCTTGGCATTTGTTGAACTGAAGTTTCTTCGTTGATTTTTTGAAGTCTGAGAAGTTAATAATGATTTAAAAATAATATATCCTGTAAATTCGAATTATATAATACCAACCGATTATATAGAAATTGTAAAGCCCAAAAAATTCCTTCTTCTTGCCATTGAGATATAAAAAGACATCTAAGAACTGCAACATCTAGAAACGTAGCAGCTCGAATATCAAAAACACCTGTAGACGTACGAGGTGCTGATTGATTTTGTTCATTCTGATGCTCTTGTTGATTAGAAGGTGTACTTTTTGATTTCGAACTCTCCTGAGAACTACTTTCTATTTTTTCCTCCTTAGTTTTGTCAGTGTAGCTGATATTGATCATTAACTACTTATTAAATCAACTCTGTTATAATCGCTATTGAAATAAGTGATTGGTATTGATTTTATTACCCAAGTTTCAAAGTCGTCGATGTTTTTCCTTCATTTTTGTCACCTGGTATCGCAGTTACTTGTTCTATCGTTACTGTTGATTTTGAAGATGAGCCTGATCGTGCCATTGCAACGTGAAAAATACTCGCTTCACCCTTCAACAATTTATATCAATTTTATAAACAATATTGGAAAATTTTTTTAATAATATAAAATTGTTACTCACTGCAAATATTGTAAATACTTCTTTTACACCATCCATTGTTTTCTCCGATTCAGATAAAGATGGCAGTCTAAATATCATCTACAAAGACATTTGATTTTTGTTTTTAATAATTCAAGCTTGTTAATAAATTTTTTTTGCTACTTACCACATGTTCATCTTCTGTACTTGAGCTTTCTTCAGGTATTGTTTCAGGGAAGACAGTATCTTTTGGTGAAGAAGCCCAGTTATTCTAATCAACATCAATTATTTAACTATTAATGATTAATATTTTTAAGAAAGAAATTAAATATATTAGTTTAAAATAACAACCTCTTCTTCTTTCGTACTGGCTGGAATGTTCGTTTCAGAAAAATGAATACTAACTGTTTGGCTTGGCGGACTGTCAGTGTCTTGAATATCTTCATTTTTCTTTCCTAAAATATTACAAATAATACGTTTATGTGCAAGAAAAAATAATCACAAGAATTATCTTAATTTTAATTACTATCTACTCTTGGTTCCGGACTCTTTATAATATTAATATATTATCGAAACCATAATAATAATTACAAATAAGTGAACTATGGATAAAATGATTGAGACAATTACTTACGAGATCCCACAAAGACATCAGCAGGAGTTGGTTGTTTTCCTAATCTCGCAGATTTCCACCAAAGTGAACGAGGTTTAGGTCTACAATGTGCAGTAAAACATGGTGTTTCCGGATGTCTAAACTCACTAAAGGGAGCCCAAACTTTCACTCCATTCTCTAATCGTAAATTGGACTTGAAATCGATGTCTTTCAAGTGATTACACAGTGGAGCAAACAAATAAACGAAGAGCTAAAAGTGTTTAATGATTTTAAATGTTGTTGAGTATTTAAGTGAAGATGAATAATAGAAATAAGGAAGATTGGCTTACGGTGACAGTAGAAATAGAGTAAAGATAATAAAAAGGATTGTTTGGCATCCCTAATTCAGAATCGCTCTCAGCACATTCTTCAGCAGCATCAAGAAGAAACCAGTGAAGGATGTAAAGTAATGTTGTTTCCATTGGTCCAATATTTTGAACGTCTTTTCTAAAATGAATAAATAACAAATAAACACTGTTTTTTGTTTATTTAAAAATAGAAAAATTTTTCAAAGCCACCTGTTGTTTAAAAGATTAGCAGTTGCATGAAGAACGTAAGGAAGTGCAGCTTGAATCAAACGCCATCGTGGCACATTGCCCAAAATTTCTGACAAAGAGGGTGTTAAATCGTTGTGAAGACTTTGAACCAATACTTTTTCGAAGGACTAGAAAATTTATTTCAAATAAATTTTTAGTAATACTTTTTCTTAATACCAACACTGTATTTAGTTGTTATCAAAGTATTTTCTACTTACAGTGCTCGCTTCTTTCATTTCCTAATTGCAACAGGCATGAAAGCATTTATATTAATGTCAAAGAATAACCAAAATGAGAAATAAATTAATAAGGAAAATGCAATTAAAAATAATTGAAGCTATAAAAAATACTTAACTGAGTTTTTTTAATTAATTGAAAATAAACTAGATAAATAGTAGCAAAAAATGAGTGTTAAAGTTTTCTACTCACATGATGGCCAGGAGCATGTTGGCAAAACTATAAATCGAATGAAAGAAATCTCTTTAATTTTTAGTTTCAGTACAAAATTTTTTTCTTGATATAACTATAGATAATAATTGTTTATCCTTACCGTACATGATGCTTCATGAAGTTTTCCCAATTTCGCTCGAGTAAATGGACTGAAAAATAACATATCGATAAAAAAAATCAACCATAGAAGTAGAAAAAGATACATAATAATTTTTCAAATAAAATAGCTTTTACCGCAATTGACGCCATAGATAAAGCTGGACTGGGATGGGCAGTGCCTGTTCCGTTAGACTGTTATCGAACGATCGACGTCTATCCATTCTCCTACGCTTTACAAATAGTAATAAATTGCAATTTAAAAAAATAAGTTAACTACAGTCATTGAAATAAATTTTAAACATTATATCTCACTATGGCTGACTATAGATATTCCAATCTTCAACAATAACTTTTTTCTCTTAACATTTACATTTTGCTTTTCCACTTTTTCGATTTTGTTATAAAAATGATCATTTTGATATACGTTAAGATGAATTTTCATCTCCAATATGCTTTCATCTTGCCACTGGAATTATCAACTGATAGTTTGAAAAGAAAGAAAAAGCTGGAGAGGAAGAAATGACTATAAGCTTGAATCACGTGTTACACTCGGCCTAGTGGCACAGTTTTCCGGTGTTTCGGGAAAGCATGAAACAGTGAGAGGGTGCGCGTAGAGGGTGCGAGGGTGGAATAGGAACTGAAGTGGTGCAGAATAGTGCTGATGATGTAGTCAGATGGAGAGAACAGGACGAATGCGCACGCGACTACAAGCATTCAGGGAATACAATCTCCAATGCGCCGTCGTTCATCGATCAGACCTGGAGTCTGCTCTCTGGACCACTTTTTCGCTATCAAAGATATGCGTGCGCATAAGAGCATAATGGAGATATTAGAAGGAAATAGACTATTGTCAGCTAGAAAATTATTTGTATGGTCCTATCTTCATGTTTTTGTTTGATTACAGACCTTTCTCACGCTTACTTCACTCTATTTCGATCTGTCATGTTTTATGATTCTTTTTTGTAAGCAATGTCTGAAAATCCTAAAGACTTTGCTAAAGATCTTATAGAAGACGTTATGATGAACGTTGTTGGTGATAATGTTACGGAAGTTGAAGGTATTTTTTTCTAAATCAAAAAATTATTTAATTAGATAATATTCCTTTTAATGATTTCATCATTTATTTAAATTCTTTGAATATTTAACTTTTTTTTTAAGCCTATTACTTAATCTTTTGAGTTGAATATTGTTTATTAATTGTCATGTTATTTGAAAATATTAAAGACGAAAATAGATCTTTGTTTGAGCTGCAAGAAAATCCAACATTAGCTCCCCAAGAGTCAAACTCTAACATCTCCGATATTCTACAAAGAGTAGCCGTCATAGCAGAGAGTCTTCGTGAAGATCTTCGAAATATCCAAATTGGTGATTACTTTGTTTCTATGAATGTTTCTCCCCTGGAAATCCAAGTGAAACAAGCTATAACTCAACTCCAAACTGTTGATGAAGAAAAAAAAATTTTTGTTACGAAAGGCGATGGTGAACATACCAGTGTAACTGACATTCCGATCTCTCAAAAAACTAATGATTCCGTTGATAAAAATAGTTAGTAGTATATTTATTCATTTAGGATATTTTATAACCAGCTATTATTATAAACTAACAGATTTTTTTTCTCAATATCTCAGGCGTAAATGAAGCACAAAATTCGGTGTCTCAACCCACGGATTCAGTGAATTTAGAGCAGACTGCAATTTCAAATCTGAAAAAACGAAAGAAAAGAATAAATCTTGGCGAAAGACTTCGCAGACTCTTCCGGTTTACCTTAAGTCGTCGTAAAAATTCCTAAAAATAAAAACACAACTTCTATCATTGATCAATTGATTGAAAATAAACAATGAAAAATAATCATTGATGTTCATTGCATTAATAACTTTATTTTTAAACCTCGTGAAATAATCAGTTCTACCCATCAGAACTTATTTATTTATTATTTAAAAATTAATGTTCTTATTTTGTTTTAAACCCTGGCAGCGTCATCGTCTTGTTCTCTTCCTCTTGACGGCTAAAAATAGCTTTGTTGCTGAATCAGGCTCAATACAGTCATATAAGCTTCACATGAAGATCTCTAGCATCTTAAATAGACTTTCCTTATACCTCTTCTAGTATAGTGAATATTAGAAGATGTAAAAAAAAATTTAAAGATGAATGTTAATGAATAATATCAAGTATGAAGGGATTCCTGACAGATGACTAACAAGTTTGGCAACCCTGACACTAAAATAAAATTTCTAAAAACCATTTATCGTAGTAGGCAACACGGGAACAACAGAACGAAGGTCCTCGGGCTGTTTTTGGATCACAGCGTTGCCAGTAAAGAACTGCAGATGAAGCTCGCCTCCACGACCCTCTTTTCATCTAATTCTCGAATGTCGGACGTTAAAAGCGCCCTCTATTGCGATAAAATGAATGTCCCTGGTACCTGAAGCTCGCATTTCTGGTTCTAACTTCGTTCGGTGAACATCCAGAAGCCAATACATATCTATCAACGATGGTGAGTTTGAACATTCATTTGAAAATATAATACGTTTTTTCGATTTACTTCAATTCATTGGTACCCACTCGTTATTGATTATTATATTGATCATTGATCTCTTTTATTTATTTTTTTTATTTAATTTATATTATAAATAAATAATGTTTAAAATAAACACTTTTTAACAATACAATTATTGGTAGTTTGTATTTTTAATTAACAATGAATTTGTTTTTGATATTTCCAGGCCGATCTTTTGCCCAGGGAGGTTGAAAGTGAGTAAATTGTGGAGTTCTTCTTCTTACATTCTATTTCTTGGAGGATATGAATGCGTGATTAAGTGCAAACAACGAAGAAAAATTGGTTAACTTATCGAAAAATTCAGTTGATTAATTTCCGAAACAATTATATTTAATAGTAAAAGTAAATGACAGTGAGTGGCTGTGATATGGTTTTAAAAAAAATGAAAAAAATAATTATAAAAACAAGAAAATGACACAAATTGAATTTTTATTAGTTGAAGGATCATAAAGTATAATTTTCTTTTTCAATGGATGGTTGAAAAAGTCAATTGTCGTGGTATTTGAGGGATAAGGTATTTAAAAATAAATAAAAACTGACATTATCTTGCGTAACTTTTCGGTGGGATTCCAAATGTGAGCGTGACCGTTCCGGCGTCAAAAATAGTTGGGGACGTGTTCTTATATGGCTACGGGCTAGGGAGGGGTAATTTGACCCAGTATACATGCAAGTAAGCAGAGATTTGAAGACGATGTATCGATAGTAGTGGTGGGAGTCAAACATACCAAATCCGAAAATAGAATTCTGATATTTTTGAATCATTTCGTCTTTAGAAACAAAAAAATTTGCCCTCAATAGCTTGCAGTGACATCTGCATCAGATAGTTGTTTTCCTCGATCATCCGAACGTCTTTTCTATCAGAATCTGATACAATTTTAATTTAAATATTTATTTAAAAAATTATTTTTTTCTAAACCTAGGAGCGGAATTCTGCTTCTCAATCTATGATGCTGATGGTACCAATGTAATTGACGCATTCGATCTTGGAAATGTTCTTCGGGCACTCAATCTCAACCCAACAAATGCAACAATTGAAAAAATGGGAGGAACCAAAAAGAGGGGTGAAAAAAAAATGACGTTAGAAGAATTCTTGCCGATTTTCAGTCAACTTAAAAAGGACAAAGATCAAGGAACCTATGAAGATTTCCTTGAGTGTTTGAAACTTTATGATAAGCAAGAAAATGGAATGATGCTTGGTGTTGAACTTTCCCACATGCTTTTAACTCTTGGTATTTATGAAACAATAATTTTCTGAAATACAAATCTTAGATTATCTAAACCAATTTACACTTATCTATATCTACAGGTGAAAAATTAGAAGAAGACGAAGTTCAAACCGTGCTATCAGAATGTATGGATCCAGAAGATGAAGATGGTTTCATCCCATATGCACGTAAGTCATCATTACTATTTCTATCTCATTAAAGTAGAATCAATTGATCTAATAACGTTGAGAAAAAAAATTATTTCTAATTTCAAGTAGAAAAAAGGCCCTAAAAAAATTAATTAACTGTAAGTTCTTGTACTACTAAAGCTCTGGGATATCTTCTTTTAGATTAATATTACATATCATTTTTTTTCAATATAATGAACGACACATTAAGATTAATATTTTTATAAGTCCCTAGTTATTATAACGCACGAGATTGCCCCTGTATGAATAGAATCATATTGTTCGTAGCCCTCAACAGCAGACCCTAACTTATCAAAGAAATTTTTGTTGATCCCCTCCTTACCTGACCATCCCACTTTGTTAATTTTTACAGCCTTCTTGAAGAAAATGATGGTACTTCTGTAAATCCAGTCAGCCAGTCTTTAAAATCAGCGTAAGTAGATCCCGTGGTTCCATCCAGAACTGTTTTCAGCTTCATCTTCTACTACAAAGCATTCTAAAAACAAATTTGCATTTTATGTTTTTCCTTTATGAATTTAATATTCTTTATTGCTTTTGAATCACTGATACAAGCACTTTATAGGACACAAGGGTGCAGTGCTGCAGAGATACTGAAATCGATAACTCAGCCAGTTTGCTCCTGGCAAAGAGACAAACGAATTGTCTGATCAGTTTTTTTTTGTGTCTTTCTCTACTTCCATGTCATCTGTCATCATATTAATTTTTTTTTCTAATTATTCGTGATACTTTTTGCTTTTAAAAATGAATGCTACAAATACTTGCATAAATAAATTATTCATTTTATCTTTTATTTATAAAAATTTGGTTTATGTTAAAATATATTTTAGTTTATATCTTACATGTGATAATGCATAATTCTAAGTTTTAGCATGTAAAAAAAAATCAATATATAAAAAAAAAATCGTTGTAAATATCGGTTAGCAGCTTGATGAAATTTCTCTTACATTGAAATTTGTTTCAGGTGATCTGAAATTTAAAAAAAATTTCGATTAGTTAAAAATATTGTTAAATATTCTCTGTTATTTTATTTTTAAAGAAACTACTTTCTGAATTTGAACAAAACTTTTTTCAGCAAACTTTGTTTTCAAAGCTATCAAAAAGGTTTACATCCTTAAAACTCGCTTTTAACAATTTTTACTTTCTGTTAAATAATTTATTAATATTAATATATTAACTAAATAATTCTTTTTACAGCGTTCCTTCGTCGACTGTGCGACCGTGCAGCTGACAATTCAGAATAAACAAAAATTGCTGATTAGAACGAAGCTATTCCCAGATGTACATCAGTGTCAAGTTAAGAAGACGAAAAAATGATTTATTTTTTAAATAAAAAAATTATTTATATCACAATCACACATTCACATTGAAAAACATTTTTCTTAATATCATCAATCATTTATAATTTATTCCAATCAGTTGTCTCGTCTTCTTTTTTTCCCTTAATCATTTGAAACAAATTTTTTCTCTAACAACACGTGAAAAAAATCCAATATGTTCAATCAAAAATCTAAAGAATATTCGCCGAACGCCAAGAGATGCATTATTTTATTCGAGTTACGACAATATTGTTTAAATAAATACAAAACACAAACACTCTAGACAATAAATAAAATAGATAAAAAATTATTTTATGAAGAATGTTATACATAAAAATTTTAAATTTTATGAAATGAATAAATAATATGTAAGTATATTTAAATAAAATATTATTTATCAATGTTGTAATAAATCGAATAAAATAACTAATATTTTACTTACTACATGATAAAATGACTGTTACTTGAATAAATAAATTTTGCACTTTATGATCAAGAAAGTGCCAAAAATTATTTAAAACTTTATTTTTCATTCCTTTATATTCCTTTTTATCTTTTATTAGATTTCATTCAATTTGTGAATAATTATTAAACTCACATTTTATAACTTAAATAATTAATTAGTACTTAAATTTTACGCAATAGTTAATAGATTAATTGATGAACATAATTTAATAATCAAGTTAACTAATAGAAAAAAAAATTGCATCGTAAAGAGTCGTTAAAGCTCGGTTTCTTTCGGATGAGCAGGCGTGGGGAACTCAAGTTTTCTCGGATACCCGGCAGTTAGGGAGACGTTTTAAACGCGTAGAAACTGCTGCGCGAGTTACGTCGATCTTTTATCTAATTCATCTGTGTTATTATCGTGTTCAATATCTCCGTAAATAAGTGCGAAATCATTACATCAGTGATTACAATTTATTTCACGCACCTGTTTTTTTATTTATCATTTACAAAATTTTTTTTATAAGTTATAAAAATTCTAAAATATACTGATATAGTGAATGATGACAGACGTGCAGAGCAAAGGAGTTGAAGAGGAAAGAAGTAGATTACAAAACTCTTCATCTCCAAGAACAGGTGATTACAAACATAAAAATAATTATTCAGAATTTTTTAAAATAAAAAGTAATTTATTTTATCAATGGCGAATGATTTTATTGGATGTTTATATTTGTTTTTTATAAAGTCTAGTGATTATTGTATTTTCAAAAGATACAGGAAATGGATTTTTAGATAATTTAACAAGAAGCTTGTATGCTAGTATCGATTAATCCCGGGATCACTTGAAAGGTGGAGGCTGAGAATGTTTGATAAAATATTTTTTTTAATTACCTAATCAATTAACCTCGATACTTTTGATACTAAATCATAATAATATGAACTTTAGTGTAAAGATAATTAGCAAATTATCGTACCCTTTAGGTATTAATTAAAATTTGGAGCAGGCATTTGACTTTTATTTGCTAGACGCGCGCATGTGCCAGGCGAGGACATTGTGCTCGCACATGACTGACTCTCACATACTTTATATGATAATAACACACATATGCCGATTAAAGATTGTAGTTTACCTGAATGGTCTATTAAAGACGATGAGTGTTTATCAATCATTCATTCAATTGACAATTGATGATAAACAAAATTATTTTTATTTGAGAAGAAAAATTTTTATTTCAACAAAATATATTATAAATATTCATAAATATATATGTTAAATAAAATGCTAAAGAAGATGAAATTGTCAATGCAAACAGGTTGTTTAGGTAAACATTGACGTCACTCGAATGAGAACTTAATACTTTCGAATGTTTCTGTTTTTTTAATAAATTCTAGATACACAACGAGATTCTCGGTCATGGGTCCGTTACATCGGGGCATGAGAATACCCTGACACGAACAAGTACATGAATTAGCATCGCTTATTATCCACTCTAATCTCATGAATTAATCTGTCGTGTATTTGGTTCGATTGTTTGTAAGTGAATTAGAAGAAGAAATTATTTATGAAGGAAATCTTATTGAATTATTTCATGAGGAAAGCAAGAATTTTTTTTCTTCAATTAAATTAAAGATCAATAAAAATTGTCAAGTAATAAAAAATATGCTAACATTTTTTACAATAAATAAGCAATGATTGAAATCCTGTACTACCGTTTTCGTCGCAGCATCGATTTCTCTAATTTCTTTTTCCTTATTCGTAAAATGTTTTATTCAGCTTCATTTTCTACTCATTCTCTAATTCATTTTTACTAAGGAAGTAAGTAAAAGAAAGTACACAAGAATCATTACAATTATTTAAAACTCCACCTCCACTCCTTAAACGGGTTAATTATTTGATTTGGGTGACAGGATGAGTCAAGCAGTAGACATTTAGATAGATAGTACAATTTTATTATTCTTTGTCCAGCTCTCTTGTTAAATTTCATCATTCCATAAGAAGAAATTCTCGTTCTTCTAAATGAATCATTGATCGAATGCATAGAAAAAATTCGCAAGGAAGAATTACAAAATTAGCACAATTAATGGCACATTTTTTCATCAATTAAATTAAATAATTATTTAATTAATTATTTTACTAGAAAAAAATTATTGATTCAATTCTCAAGAAATTGATTGACGACAATTAAAATATCCTCAATAATTCAATAATATTATATAGATATGTGTATTTTATAAATATGTTTATCTATGAAATATTTAATTCAGTAAATTTAACTATAAAATTATCTTTCATTTTTTCGGAATTAATTATTTACTTACATTAATTGATTTTATTATTTGAAACGTTTAGAGTAAATATAAAATAATTGGTGCTTGTTAAATGATGAAAATTATGTCAAATTTTGTGCGGCAATTATAAATAATTATAATTTAATAGCCTTCAGTAAACATCCGCAATTTGCCATCGAGCTGTAAGCACGCTATATATTGTCACGTTTATTTTACAAGCAAAAGGTAAGGTAAGATCCAATAAAGGGTTAACATAAAACTAACTATTAGTTTATGAGATTGATTGATTTGAATTAATCACGAAGGTCGCGTGAGCTTTGCTCCATCCGTCGAACTATTCGCACATCGTCTATATTTACTATCAACCAGGTCATAAAGTAAATTTGCAAAAGAATTTTTAGTGAAATAATGCATACCCACAGGGTCATCACATAAATCCTGATAAATCTTAATTAGGAAGAGTGATATAATCTTTGTAATAAATTTGTCGTGAAGACTGTTGGTATTTGGATAGTAGCAACTTTTTGCCTAGTAAGTAGCAAGACATAAATGTATTAAAAACCTACATCAAGTGTTTTAAGTTCATTGAAATTATTGATCAAACTCTCTCTCATTTGTAGTCTTTCTCTCTTTCATTTTAATACTTGTCTAGCGATGCTTTCATCAAAGTATGCAGTATATATAGCGTATCTTTCTTGGCTTCTTTCGACAACTGCTTGGATAGAAGATAGTATAGCTCGTATAATAAATCGCTTCTAATAACTCCGAATGTAGATTGCAAGTTCATCGACCAGACGTTGTGTGGATTTTTTTAAAGTGATTTATTCTGTAATTATCACATCATCGTTGGCAGAAAAAGTTTTCAAAATAGATTTATCGCAATAAATCATCGTTAACAGTAAATTTGATTTGAGAATGCAATAATGTACGATGAGTTTAAAGAGTTTTTTGCATGACTTATGTGATTTTGTACTAAAGTAAAATATACGATGATGCATTTGTTGTAGAAAATATGAAAAATATTCTATAAAGTCTGATATTCTTTAGGAATAAATAAAAATTTTTTTTAATTACTTTAGAAAGTAAAAAATATATTATATATATTATTAATGAGTCAAAAGAAACAGAAGTAATACATCAAAAATGCATAATTATGACTTAAGATATTCCAAGAAATGTTAATTTCAATTTCAAGATGATGAAATATTTATAGGCAGTATTTTAAATATTGAGAAATTATCATTTCCTAATTAAAATGACTAATTTAATAGATAAAATTATCCAATAAAATAAATCTTTAATTTATTCAACACCTGATCACAAGCAGAAGTGCGCTTGGATACTACTAGATTCTATTCTAGAACACCTTCGTAATGTCGTGATTATGCAACTGTCTCTTTTCGAACCGCTGACCTGACTCAACGGCACTCTGTACCTACCGGCGGCCTTGACTATAATGCTGTCATGTCTGTGCTTGATGTTCCTCTTCCCCTTTTTCTCTCTCGCTCTTTCCTTCTTGTATATCTCTTCCTATAATCGCTCGCGATATCTTTCAGGTAAACTAGAGCACTGATAAAGTCATTGTCATTTTTTTAAAACTGAGTCTAATTCTTAAATACACTTATTGAAATTGAGTAAAAAAAATGTTCATTATCGATAATATATTTCTACGAAAGGCTGAACTTTAAGTATAATTTTAACGAACTGGCAATAGCAAAAAAAAATTTATTGCTATAAAATTGGAGTAGCAATAAAATTAATGTTTAGGAACCATAACAGTAGTAAAATTCGAGGTCGTCACGATCCGAGAGTCGTCACAAAAATAATAGCATGATATGATGTCATGTGTTGAGAATGATCTGATATGAGAAGTACAGTTGTCGACTATTGTCTTGTAAAACTAATATAAAGTTTAAAGGCGCGTCTAGTCGATGCTTTTTCTGTTGTGCCATGATATTTATGCACTGATGACTAATGAGCCTGAATAAAAATAAATGTTATTTTATGAAGATTATTATTCTTATATACGTTTTATGTAAAACGCTTGTATATTATATTGAATCATAATTTATCAGTGGATATAAAAATTTGTTACATGATATCAGTAACTCAACCTCCTCATTAAGTTTCAAAAAGAATCAATTAATAGATTAATTTATTCAATAAAATAGAATAACAAGCATTATATTGCCACATAAAATTTTTTTGTGATCAAATAAAAATAATGACTTAACTACTAAGTATAAATGTTGTTTTGCTGAAAAAAATTTTTATCGTTATATTTTTTTTTCTCTGAACACTGATAAAACTGTGATTCAAAAGAATGTAAAACTAAGCACGTGCATGGCGATGAAAAAGACACGAGGGGTAAGTTATACAAAGGGATTGAAATGGAAAGAGGGATGTAGGAGTAACCGGACCTAAAATCGATAGTAAAACGTCTCTCGCGCAGCATCCGTAGACTTTTACTGCTCAAGGGAACACTTATAACATTTATGAACCCATTTTTCTATCAGGTCGTTCGCCAGATAGTGATTGAAACCTCAATTCGATTGATCACGATTTTTTGTAGGATTCGAAAATTTTTTTTTTATTCAACGAAATTGAAAACTTGATTCAATTCATTCTAAAACTTGTTTTTTGAGTTTTTTTGGTAAATTTTGATTTTGAAAAATAATGAAAAGTTTGTATAAAAGAATAAGACTAGTATTAAAGCTCCTTAATCTTACCGGACGAGAAATCGATTGACTTGAACACACCTTAGCATTTATTCATTATTATTAGCATTGTCCAAGCGTAACTAATTGGTTGCAATACTACGAGTATCACATTACCAGTGATTTCAAATCGAGACAGTTCTAAGAGCAGCTAATGGATCATAACGTCACGAAATATTCTGATGTATTACATAATTACATAAAATTAAGCGAAATGTGATATAACAATAATGATACTGACTAAGTGAAAATGATGAATTTAGGTTTTATTATCGTCAAACATGATAAGAAGTATGAAAAGCTTATAACAATCAATGTTATAGATACTCTAGATGATTTAGGGGAGGCTCTTAAGGCTTCAGTTATGCCAGGTTTAAACTCATATATTTTTCCGAGAACCCTTAGATATTTTTAAATTTTTATATCAAGTCAATACATTTTTTTTAAATCGTATTTTCGATCATAACGGTTGGAATTTAACATAAAAATCTTTAATGTTTAAAATTTGAATAAAATATTTTTATAATATTGATACAAATAATTTTTTTTTTTCTATAAATTAACTCTATCAATACATTTATTATTATAAGTATTGATGAAAATATTATAAAGATAAATTAACGGATAGTTTATTTTTTTTATCAGTAGTTATTATTTGTTAAGTTGCTTAATAAAATTAATTGGATAATAAAGACATTAAACTATTAGTAATGTTTCTTTTCAGAAAATTGGTTTTAAGAAATCCAATATAAATAATAATGTTTATCTAGCTTTATTTTTTTGTAGTAAAAAAGAATTTATAGAGAATCCTGATAAATTTTCATAATAAAAAACATCTCAGTCGACTGAGGGTAGTTCACCCTTCGAGCTTGATTTCATCCCCTATAATTTTTACTGCCGATAGAACAGTATTCTACTGTTGAGTACGAATTCTACTGCTAGTAATAACGGAATACATGAAGTAATTTATGAAAAAAAATTTCAACATGAGTAATTGATAGACCTCATCGATTTTCATTTAAGGTTTCTAATCCAAACAATCAAGATTTAAAAGATACATAAAATAAAAATGCATTTTTTTAAAACGATTTCCAACAGACTCAGATTAATAATTTTCTAATTTTTTTATGTTTCAGGTATGTTAACGTGATTGACATGTAGGACATTTTTTTTCTTATCTCAAGACACTTCTACAGTTATAAGTATTTGAGGATAATTAACAGCTTGTAAATTATAATCTTGATGCCGTTGAATCGAGAAGTCAAACGATGAATGGAATGCCTGTTGCATCAGTAATTTTGCAACATCATGGCAAGGAGTATAAAAAAACTACGGAAATGAAGAAAAAAAAATAAAAACATTTAAAATTCTCTGAATGGACAGCCTTCAAGCAAGTCATTAAGCTGATGAGATTTAAATGAAAGTGGGCTGGCTTCAGTAGGGCGTGTCTCAGTGTTTAATTTTCCTAATACTTGTCATGTCTGACCACCTACCTATTAAGGGCTAATTTTTATCAACCCTCTTAATTATTTTGAAACTTTAAAAAATATCATAATCTGATTCATGAATTATTTAGTGTGGAAAAAAAAATATCAAGTGAATTATGTGATACAAAAAGTAGTACGCACATGTTTTTAAAATAAAAGCTTGTTGAACTAGTGTATATTACATATTATTACATTGTTTATCTTCTCTTTTATCGTTCGCTTTCTCTCTCGACGTAGCGTGCAGTAATATTTAGTGGGGTTGGGTTAGATGGCTCTAGAATCGTTGAGCGCAGGAGCAGACTGCCAGGACAAAACGGACATTGTGCCAATAGGTGTAAGAAAGGACGAAGGGGTAGTCTGGGGGCAGTAGCTCACAAGTATTCATATCGACAGGTGACTTTAATAAGTGATTAAGTCAATTTCATTTCCATTCATTAATTCTCAAGTTCATTATCAACTTCTTGGTAAGTTTTTTTACAAATTTGGAAAAAAGAGAATATCTCTTCAATTATTTATCATTGAATTTATAATAATTTAATGACATTCAAGTCCACCTGTACAATTAGCACACGTGCACTTTATAATAAATCATTGCATCAAGTAAAAGTTGAATAGATTAGACAAACAAACAAAATTTGAAATGAACTTTTTCAAATTTATTCATGAGTTCAATCGCATTTAAGTCGAATTAGGTTAACGTCCATGATGTATTTGATGCTTTTGATAAGTTATCATTCTATCAATGTGCATAACTCATTTTATATTGCATGTGTCTAGATAGAAAATTGTTGTTGATCAATAGAATCCGTCATCTAATGTTCTAGAAAATTATTTATAATATTATAAGATTTTCAATAAATTTATACCTTCAATATTTAATTCACAATATATCGCGTATTTAACTGAGTATTTCAAACCTTAAAAGTTCTTTTATTCGATAATTTTTGATGAGGTTTTGTAAATTGAATTACCTTCGATTTTACGTCAAGCCTAAGCTATTCAGTTTACTTCTTCTCTATTTTTCTTAGTCCGTCTATCCTTTATGAGTAACATTGGTCAATATTATGTAGCTATCATTATCGTGTTTTAAATCTAAAATTACCTTAGTGACAACTATGAATATATTATTAGTAGTTTTGAGTAGACTCAATTATTGTTCCATGGGAATTACCAGTGTAGTAAAAAAAGTCTATTTATATACCAGCTAAATTATCGACTACTATTTCACAAATTCAAAAAATTGTTTCAGACTTGTCAGGTGAGAATGAAAATATTTTAGATGAATAAAGTGCGTGTCGAACAGTCGGTACCACGCACGAAATTATTCTCGTGTCGACGAATATCAAGATGATAAATCTCCCTTACGATCTTCAATCTTGCCTTGAATTAAATTGAGGTATTAACATCATATATATGTACATCTATTTGAGCTGAGAAAAGTGAATTGTTGAGAGTAAAAACATGAATAGAAACTCGTCAAACGTGCTGTGTCGAGCTGGATCAATACGAGTTACTAAGAGAGCCTAGACTTATATTTTAGTTCAGTTTATTTATTATTAATATATCATTATTTAGCTAATTTCGATAATAACTATTATTAGTTGAATCTGCTTTTCATTCAACCTTGCTTTTTCTTTTTTTAGAATTTAGATCTGGCCCGAATTTCGATTGATAACGTGACCGATAGCTTTTAACGATTCAATTCAGATTAAGTTGAATAAATTAAGATAGAGATGGAGAAAGTCCGAGTTGAGATGGTAATAAAGAATGGAAGAGACACTAGAATAGGCAGAGAGTTTAACACGCGCGATGTTACGTTCACCCCGAGCTTTTTGCATAAGTTCTAAATACAAGTATCTAGCGTGAGGACATTGTTTGTTCAAGAAGATGTTAGAATAAATTTAAAGTTGTGTAAACGCGCAAACAGTTTACAAGGAAAGAAAAAAAAAAGTAACTGAGTATAATTTTGCAGACAAAAAAAGCTTCAATGGCAAAGCGCGGGAAACTCAACTGTTTAAATTAGAAATTGGAAGCATTCAAGAATGATAAGGGAATGTACGTTTATTTATGTTAGACACGAAGTTGAGTCTATCGACAGTCGTAGAAATTCTCAAGGCTAATCGCAAGTAAAGTGATCTTAAAGCTCATGGTAGAGTCTGAACTTGATGCGGTTAGTGCTGAGTGTAAGAGCTTGCGTGCCTTTCTTCGTTTCCATACGTGGCTTAGCAGTCACCCTTCTACCATGATTTCTGAAAATTTTTATTCAACCCCTAAAACTCTAGTAAAGTTTTCTTTTAACTAGAAAAGCAATAAACGTCCGCAACCCAAAATACACACGAATAGCAACCCTCAAGTCATTCGTGACTGTCGATTGGTTTGTTTTTACGAGTAATCGTTATAAAGTAAGAGTCAATAATCAGGTCAGACAACGATTCTAACACTAAAAAAAAAAAAACAAATATTTCTCTTGATAAACTTTTTGTTTTTTTTTCCGTAATATTTCATAATGAGCTTCTTGTTGACTTGGACACTTCATTATCACACTATAGAAATTGTGTAGTTTGGTGAAGATTATCCGAAATCACGAAATCTAGAACAGTAAATGTATGCATGTAGGAAACACAACATGGCACAATCTACACCGTATATGACTCGATGTTGAGGTGCCTCTGCGTGCATACCAAGAGTTTACTCATCATTGTCATACTTTATATGTATCGTTTTAAGCAACGACTGTTGTTTATCATATATGTATATATATTTAAATATATATAAAATGCAGTTATAATGTAAAGTTGGAATCTCCACTTTAGTTGTTCGAATTTCCACTTATAATCTCAATAGATTGTATTTTACTCAACTCCACCAGCACGAAAACACTTTGGCTAAAGTAGAGAATAATATTAAAAGGTGAAACTGATGAATAGCTTCCGTTGATACGCAACAGGTTAATGGAGCCTGCTTGTACCATCAGGTGAAATCGTCAACTTCTCAGAAGTTTTAGTTTTATTACTCATGGATCCACCGCAAACACCACGTCCCGATGATTCTGGGGGAAGGGTATCGATGGTAAGCTTTCATGGTCTGGGTTCTAGATCCAAGGAGACCGAATATTTTATATTTGGAAAATATTTTACAAAATCCGGATAAATCATAGAAAGTAATAATCAATTATCGCAATATTAGGATCATGATCATTGTTATAAAGCATTTTCATCGTAGTAGACTCCTCGTGATCGATCAGAAAGTTTAAGTCGTGTCAGGTACCGACGAGACATCACCGTTTCGCATTATTGGCAAATCGATGAACGAACGATGAGAGTTGTGTTTTAGAAATATTTTCAGACTTTTTATTTGGATTATTTTGTTATTTTATTTATGAACAATAATTTATAAATAATGAAAAAAATCAAGCCGACACGTAGAATGATAAAAAGTATTAGAAAAAAATACAGAATTAATTTGCCAGCAGGTAAAACAAAATCCACAAGGTTTTCAAGTTCGACCACAAGGTCCTCCAGGTTCTCCGAGATATCCAATAAATAATGGATCAATCGGAGGACAACGTTTAGCTGGACAGCCACCTCCTAATCTCAATCGTCTAGATAGCAGAGCATCCCTAAGAGCTGCACCATCATCACCAAATCAATTTGGACCACAACAGCCTTTTGGTCCACGACCGATATCTACTGGTGCTCCGGGAAATTTCCCACGAGCTCCACCAGTGTATCCTGGGAATCAGTTAAACCAAGGCCCACCTCGGTTTCCTCCTCAAGGGACACCTGGCGCAGCAAGAGGACCCTCTTATCCTCCACCACCAGGACAACGATTGCCATTTAATCAAAATTCTCAAGGCATTCGACCTAGACCTCCAGGGCCTCCATATAACGCAGATATTCGACAACCTCTTGCAAGAAATATTCTAGGGAATTACGGCACTGGAGCGCCAAGGAATGAACCTATAGGTCGTAGTGAAACTCCTGTAGCTCCTCCCAGAATGAATTCAGAAAAAAGTCCACCAGTTCAACAAGAAAAAATGAAGAATGATACTGAAGTTGAAAAAAACGACGATCCAGCTTTACTAAAGAAAAAATTGGCCTCTCGAAATGGAAATGGAGATGATGATGACGATGATGATGATGATGTTGTTATGGATACTGAGCAACAAGCTAAGTCCCCTACTCCCAAAATCATGTCACCTGAAGTACAAAAAACCCCAAGTCCAACTGTACTAATGGCTGAGAATGTATCTTCTACACCATCACCCGAACCAAGAAATTTAGATGCAAATGTAAAGAACAGTCCAACTCCACAAATGTCTGAAAGTACTACTCCAATTCCAAAGACACCTGAAAGACCTGTGTCAAGAATAGAGACATCAAAAACTCCAGAAGTTGAAGTAAAAGGAGATCATGCAGCTGAAACTGAATCATCAACAAATGTATCTCGACCTGCAAGTGTAAAATCAATGAAGTCTCCAGCACCCGATGATAAAACTCCAGAATTATTGGCTGCATCTTCAGACATACGATCATCAACTTCTTCTCCATCATCTAATATTTTAGGCTTTGATGACGGCAAACCTAGATCTCTGTCTCCTAAATCACCCGTACCACACTCTTCTTCACCAGCAACGAGTCCACTGGTTTCAAGTACTCCGAAATCTCCTGGAACTCCTAAATCTGATACAGAGAAAAAAAAGACCACTTTTGCAGATGAAATTGAAGATCGAGACGATGCCAAAGATGATAATATTAATGAGAAACCTCAATCGCGATCTGAAACTCCAGCTAAAGAAAAGCCTGGAACACGTCCAGTAACCCCTGCAACAGAAAAACTTCCGTCAAGACCAGGCACTTCAATCTTATCAAGGCCTGCGACTCCAGCTGTATCAGAAAAGTCTAGACCTGCTACACCAGCAGAAAAAACTCAAACACGGCCAGGAACTCCTGCTGCTTCAATTATTTCCCAAAAGCCTGATCCCCCAACTTTAGCAGTAGATCCTAATTCACCAATTCGAAGATCAACATCTGGACGCTCTATTAAATCAGGTTCTAATGATTTAAAAAAATATTCCTGTCAAGAATTATTTTTTTATGGCTGTAGAAGTGTTTTTTTGCTTTTATTAAATTGAAAATAATTTTTTTAATAATTAATTTTAAATTGAATTATTTATAGATGCTGGTGAGAATGGAGTTAACCAGGCAAATGCAGTAAGTATTATAAAAAAATATTTTGAATTATTTATTTCCAAAGTAAATGTGATATCACCATAGCACCCATTCATAAATTTTTTTAGCAACCAACAACAAATGGTGTAGCAGTTTCGCCAACAAAAAAAGTAGCATCAAAGTCACGAGAAGGAGATAAATCAAAACCAGCAGCATCGCCAGTCAAGTCACCAAGCAAGTCTATTAAATCATTGCCAAGAACGCCGGAGGCAGGTCCTCCCTCAACAGAAAAGAAAAGTAAGACAAAAAAATTTTTAATCGAGTAATGTCCTTGATTGCATGATAAAAAGTAATTTTTAAATGATGTTTATCTAGAGGTACCAATGAACAAAATCCAAGTTGGCGCTGCGCCATCACCCAATCTTAAAACAGTCCGTTCGAAAATTGGTTCGCTCGAAAATACGAGCTATAAACCAGGAGGTGGAAAAGTCAAAATTGAAAACAGAAAGCTCGATTTCAGCAATGCTCAACCAAAGATTGCAGCGAAAAATGAAAAATATACTCCAAGCGGTGGTGATAAAAAGGTAAATGACCTCTTCTCTAAATAAATAAAGAGTTTCAATCAGAAGAGTCATAAAATATCGATCAATACATCATGTAAATTGTTCTTTAATTGAGCTATGAATGAACCGTTTATGTTTTAGCTGAATAATTGAATGATGCCAAAATAAATGTTTTTTGAAATTCAGATAACTCAAGTAAAACTTCAGTGGAATGCCAAACCAAAGGTTGGGTCATTAGAGAATGCAACATATAAACCTGGTGGTGGGGACAAAAAGATAGAAACTGTAAAGCTAGATTTTAAAGATAAAGCGAAGCCAAAAGTTGGATCCAAAGACAATGCTAAGCATGTACCGGGCGGTGGCACTGTTAAGGTAAGATGACCTTTTAATTCAAAACATCATTTTAACTTAGACCTCATTCATGATATGATTTTAATTAATTACTGGATCGAAACATTTGTGTTGTAACTTCTATATGTTTTGGCATGAAGTTTTCAAAGTCGTCATTTAAATGGCTCTCTAGAGCATAAATCAATTTTTACTAATTTATTTGAAGTGTCGAGTACTAAAGTTTTATTTGAAGAAACCTAATATAGATGAATGATTTTATCTGACCCGAATTGTGTTATTTTTTACTTCAGTTCTACTGGCTAGATTGCGTTCCTTGTTAAAGTTTCATAGTGTCGCAAAGTGACGTGCTTAGAAAGGTATAAAGTTTGCATGTGGAATGCAGTTTTCCGTCCTAGCATTGTTGCCATAACTGTGTCAAGTCTAATACTACAAAATAGCTTAGGGAAAAAATCGTTTTACATAATTTAGGTGAAGGAACAGACCAGGACTGATCCACATTGTTCACATACTTCTATTTTTATAATATTCTCACCTCCCTACACACTTGAAACGTTTTGCAAATATTCTAATTACTTTATTCTCCACTTAACTGTCATTATTTCAATCATATAATAATTAAATGAAATTTTCCTTTGTACATATTAAAAAATTAAAAAAAATGAGAGATAAAATATCAATTAATTCAGCATGATTTCATTAACATAGTTATGATTATTATCATTTCTTTATTTAGTCAACAGCAACACCACCTAAAACACCACAGGACTTACCAGATAACGTAAGTAAAATGCCCAAGGGTGTCGAAACATTTGCATGTTTGTCATGACCTTCTTGAGTAATTTGCTTCATTTTCAATTATTTTTATTACTTCTACATTTTTGCACGCTACGATTTAGAAGTGCTTATAGTGATTAGAGTGTTCTAATCAATTATTCTCTAGTAATTTTAATTCTCACGATTCTCAATTACTTTAAACCTTAAATATTCCTGAATCATTCCTTTAATTCCTAGTCAACATTATTTAAAACAAGAAAAAATTGTTTTTTGTAGTAAAGAAAAATATAGCATCTAATAAATTCTCAATGGTACTAGATTGAAACACAGAAGATTGATATCAAAGCAGAAAGCAAAGTGGGCTCACTGGACAACGTAAAATATAAACCAGGAGGTGGAGACAAGAAAATCTTCGATGATAAAACTTACTTACGTCAAATGAGCCCCAACGTCCAAAGTGTCAACGGTAGTGGGACTCAGGTATGAGAGAGAATACCTGGTTATTGTCATTCAACATCAGCATTCATCATATTATGGTGTTTCCTTGCCTTATTAAATTTAATTCCAACTCCAATCCGATTATCCTTATTTTCTGCCTTTCATCACACTCAGTTACTAAATCAAAACTTTTTGAATAGCATTCCTTATTATTGACGCTTAATTAACCAAGAAAATAAATTGTGTATCAATAGTTTTCGAATAATAACAATAATTACGTTGAACTGTCTCATAAAAATTTCTTACTTAAAAAGAAGAAATCAATAATTTATTCAAATTTCAAAGTTAAAAAATTTTTTTAAAAATTTGAAAAGAATTTATATTCGAAAGAACTCCATAACTTTGATGGAGTAATTTAAAATAAATAGAAGTAGTAAATTAGAGTTTTATACAAAATTGTTTATGATAAATTAATACTGTAAAAAGCACAATTTATTTTGTTTAAAATATATTAATTTTCAAATCTTGATCTTTCTTGCATTACTTTGCACGCTATTCACTTTGTGGCTGTACAGGAAGGTCTAGAAAACAAGAAACTAATTTTTTGTTCATACCCAGACTGAGACGGACGATCGAATAGTATAATGAATTTTTCGAATGTCTTATTAATAATAGAAACTTGTTAGGTTTATCGAATATGTGTTATTTTAGCCCTTATGTTGAGACGAGTAAATAATTTATTGTACGATAGATGGTTAGAAATATGATTATTGTATGTCACAGAGTCCTGTACCGTCGATCAGTGACGGCAAGAATGGCCTGCCAACTTCGGATGAGAATCTCAACCAGGAATACTAAATCGTGACACTTGAATTCAATTACATTCATTCATTTATCTCAAATTAAAAGGAGCTATTGATTGACTAATGTAATTATAGAAGGATGAAGAGGATACCTCGACACGACACGAGATGATCCTGCCGCGCCATGCGCTTTTATCTCTAATTATTCACCATCGTCATTATCATTGTGGTCACTTACGCACTAACTGATCATTTTTATCAACTAATATAGACTTGGAGTCAGCTAAAAACTGCTGAATGTAGCTTTCAATGCACTGGATTATTGATTGCTTTGTTGAGGAGTTATTCTAAAATTATTATACTGAAAAAAATTTATTTACGGTTGCATTAGAGTATTTTGATTAATTAGAAAGATTTTAATAGCATTTTTTAAGAGTGAACTTTCTACAAATGTTTATAATCAATTGTTTTACTGAAGAAAAAATTTCTAAATTGTTTTTAAAAATTTTTCTCAGTGTAAGCGGTTATCTAATATACGAATCAAGTAGATTCTTATTTGAATAATACAAACTGTGAGAAATTTTGAGATAACTGTTCACTGTAATACATCATTTGGATTGATCAAATATCATAATATATCACGATATATTTTTTTCCTATTGTTTCGATGTAAATAAAGCATTAATTCGAAGAAATATTTTCAACATTTGCGCAATCACAGAACAATCGATTATTGATTATAAACAGAGATTGTAACGTCAAACATAAATAAAAAAATGACAAAAAATACCTAAAGTATACATACAATGATATACATTAATCACATTTTATCGCTTTACAAATTCTAATTATCGTAATTTTAATCGTTTATTGCGATTATTGAAGACTAATATCTTAATTATTGATTAAGTAATAGTAGAGATATACGACTGTATTACACCAAGATCAAGTACTCGTAATACGAGTAAAGAATAAGAGGAATAATCATTTTAGTAAAGAGAGAATGAAAGGGATTAAAATTATTATATGTTACGACCAATATTGTATCTTGCAAAACTTACATAGAAGTTAATTACAATAATATTTTCGTTTTTCAATTAAATTTGCACTTCATTCAGACGCACCCAATAACTCCTTACGAATTTTAACTTTGAATTATTTATTATTTATTTATTTTACTGTAAAACGAACTTCGCAATCAGTAGAATCAGGTATAGAGAGGATTTATAATTGTGCACGGCGTTTCTTCTTCACCACGACACTACATCACTATAGCGTCGACATTTATTGAATTATTGAGGTCAGTTTGCACTTTTTATGATCACTAATAAACGAAAGTATTGATTAAATATACTAAAACTCAAATAAAGAATATTATTTTATAATTGTTTTATGGAATTAAATTTTTTTCGACAGGAAACTGACGATTCAAATGGAATAGATGAGATCCAAGATCCAAACCCTCCACCATCAACACCTACAAAATCACGTCCATCATCAATAGCTTCACCAGTTACTCCGGAAGCTGTGAAATCAAATCTACAAGCAAGAACTCCAGATACACCGAAAAAAGTGACAATTACAGAATCGAAACACTCACGACCCTCTACTGCTACATTACAAAAAATATCTCCGAATAATACTCCAACACCACGAACAAGATCACCAAAGTCTCCGCTTACTCCAAAATCTCCATTGACACCTAAATCTCCGACGACTCCGAAATCTCCACTAACACCTAAATCTCCAACGACTTCAAGATCTCCATCAATTCCTAAATCACCAGAAAAATCTCAAACGACTTCAAGATCTCCATCAACTCCTAAATCACCAGAAAAATCTCCAAGACCTCCAAGCAGTCTCGATATCAAATCATCAGATAAATCATCTGCTAATAGTTCAAGAAAATCATCACCTAAAGGATTCCTTTTTCCAAAAATAACTAGTCCTATTCAATCAGAAATTATAACAGAACCACGCAATTATGAATCTTCAGTAAAGCTACCTAAACTCATTGAAACTTCAACCGTAGCTGCTAGAGCTGGTTTAACTTAAATATATTAAATAAGTGCACGACTTTTGCTTGTGTTTTATGATTCCAGAATACTAATAAAATATCTTAGTGACATTCGTGTATATTTCACATTTGGTTGTAACATATTAGAGTGGATTTGCTCATTTTAAAAGCGGATAAATTATTTTTGCAATTCAAAATAATTTTTTCCTCATTTTTTTCAATGAAAAGAGGAGTAGCAAATCTTTTAAAAGAGATCATGTACTTAAATGTTTATGAAGTGAAACCGTAAAATTAAAATAAAAATTGCACTAATATTATGAATGCAGAGAAATTAAAACTTAATTAAACGACATAAATAAAGAAAATAAATATCATTACCTGATGTAGAGTTTATCAGTCTTTTTTTGGAATGATCGGACGAGTTAGTTTAACATCTTTAAAATAAGAATGATTCAAAGCATTCAGTGCTGTGATTCGTTGGCTTGGATCATAAGTTAAAAGTTTCTGTAATGAAAAAATTGTTTTGTTGTTTTTTTATTTTATTAAAATACAATAAGTTGGAAATGAGCAATAAAGTCCATCTCAAGCTTCATAAATTTTTAATAAAAAAATATATATTAAAAAATTATACATACTGATAATAAGTCTCTCGCATCGTCAGTAACATTTGGCACAACTTCATTTAAACTTCTGGCATCCCACTGCGGGAACATTGATTTGTAATCCTGAAGTTGAGAAACTCCAGGCCAAATGGTTTCATCAGGTGTTCCAAGTGTTCTAAAAATTCGAAAAAGTTGATCTATCTCTGAATCACCAGGAAATAGAGCTCTTCTTGTTGCCTGAATAATGGAAAAATATATTCACTTAATAGTTTTCAAAGAAAACTTATTTAATTTACAACTTCAAATACCTTATTTGTCCAATACGAATAATTATACGTTTTTAAAATGAATTCTTTTATAAAAAAGAAAAATTTTGGATAAAATTAAATTACCATCTCAGCGAAAATACATCCTAAACTCCAGATGTCAACAGCATGTGAATATAATTTTGTTCCTAATAGTATTTCAGGTGCTCTATACCACAAAGTAATAACTTCATGAGTGTACATTCTCATTGGAAGTCCAAAAGATCGTGCAAGACCAAAGTCAGCTAACTTTATGTAACCCTCTTGATCAATAAGAAGATTTTGTGGCTTTAAATCTCTATGGAGAATTAAGTGGTTGTGACAAAATGTGATAGCCTTTAATAACTGATGAAGGTAGCTCTAAAAACATAATTATAATATTAATAAAAAATACAAATATTACATACTAACTATAATAAGCACAATAATAATTGGTTTTTAACTTTATAAGTTACTTCTTACAAAAATACTGCAAAAGCACAAAACAAAAACTGATGAAACATAATTTTATACCTTGACCAATGAACTCCAGTGATCCTGATTGATGGCAACATTTTTAACAGAGTCTAAGTATTTTTTGAGGTCTTGCTGGAGATATTCAAAAACCAAATAGAGATCTTGATCTCCAATAACAACGTCAAACAATTGTACAATGTTTGGATGAGTGAGATCTTTGAGTAATGAAATCTCTCTGATTGCTGTGGATGGAACGCCTTCAGTTTCCCTAACGTGAATCATTCAAATCACATAATAAATTCAGACTAGAGCGATAGATAAAAAAAAACTTACAACAATTTTATATTATTTTACAGTTAATTAATTAGTTGATTAATAAATTAAATCAAATTAGGCGAGCTTTACACAGTGGTACAAGCTGAATGATGTGGTGCTATGACAGTTTATTCTAGCATGGCCCCTCCAGATTCAGCTCAGACCACTACATAGATACATTAGATGCGTGGAGAAGCATGAAAAATTTTTATTATCCGCTTTAAGAACCATTACTTATTTATACTTTGATAAATAAAATTATATCTATTATAAGAGTTGTTATCAATTTAGATTGTAATTTAAATTGATTCAAATTAGCTGAAGTATGCAAGCTTAGGTAGAGAACTTAATTAGTTAGCGACTGTTTATAAGTTATTGGAAAAAATCAATTATTTGTATGATTTTATTATTAAAATTGGAATAATAATCCACAAATAAAACTTACGTGGCGAATCGTATTCTTTTGAGTGCTACTAATTTTCCTGTTACTCTATCGCGTGCTTTATAAACAACCCCATAAGTTCCTTCACCTATTTTTTCTATTTTATGAAAATTGTCCATCATTTTCGCAATTTATTTTTTTTATTCCAAGGTTTGTTTACCCACGCCGGTTAATTTTTTACAGACAATAAACTCGCGTGTAATTATAGGTTACAAACATGAAAACGACAACAGAAACTTAAGGCTGGGCTCAAGTCATAGAGCTGATTGATTCCCCCTACCCAAATACATCGGATCGTAGTTTTCTAATTTCTTCGCCAATTCATATTTTTACCTACAAATTTTGGTCCTAAATTAAACCTTATTTCATAATGCAGTGCGCTAGATTACAATTTTGATTATTCAATTGATTTTTTTATTAAAAGAATTAAAAAGAAAATTGAATAATTATAAATTGATTTGCCGCGCTTGAACACCAAGATGGTCGCTACAAGGTTATAAAAAGAAATCGTGAATAATTTATTTCCTATGTGATTTCAGCTCCTAAATGTTGCCTAGCGCAATTTTTGCCATGTTTTTAATTTAAAAAAAAATTATTTCAGGTAATAAAATGTGATAACTAAAAAGAAATTAGAAAACTACGGTTTGGGATGATTATCGTTGGAAATAAGTTCCAAGAAGACCAACAGATGGTAGCACCATGATCACAGTTGACCCGTCTACCATACTCGAAAAATACTCAATCCGTACGCAAAACTGATGGTGCCCCGCATTTTGACGGATAATTTGTGTATGTGTATGTAAGTAATACATGTATGTGATGAGAATGTAATGTGTCACATTACAATGCCCTAAACTTTGACGAATATTGAAGTTCATATGACTAGAAATAATGATACTCATTGAATTTTATTTATACGGCATTATTGACGGGGTTTTAAGAAAGAGGGGTGCCAATTTTTCTCTTAGGTCCAGATCTTTCACATGAGCTCTTGATCACCCCTGTAGCATCATTAGCATAGAAGTTATGCATATTTTCATGTATTGCAGTTTTTTACAAAAATCTTGTGATTACTTTGATCAAACAAAGTCAATAACTACTATTTTGGAATCGTCTCATCACGATCTTCCCAATGACATACATAATTTTATGATCCGAGCATAAACATGATTATATGCCATTTTTTGAGGTCAAAATAAAAATTTCTTGGATCTTAATTATTGAGGGCTCATTCTGTACGTTTTGATGCTTGAAAATATGGAAGTTAGTTACCCCTTACGAAAATTCATTCCAACACCCCTAAAAACAGGAAAGAGTTTGAACCTCAATAACTCTTAAACGGTAGGTCCAAAAACACTTTTCAGGGACGTTTTCAGAAACATCAGAATCTTAGCTGAACATTCATTCTCATAAGAAAGGTCAAAAAATTTAATTCACCCTTAAAATCGCAAAAATAGAGAAAAAGTCGCACTTTTTCTAGAAGTTTGCTAAATTTTTTTGCAATTTCAGGGATGAAATAAATTTTTTCAAGGTTATTTATAGATATGTAGGGTTAGCGATATTCTGAAGTTTCTGAATACTCTTCAACAAGTACTGTGGGACAATTTTTTTACGAGTTATAAATGTCGAAAGCCGAAGGGTGGTTGATGTTTTATCCTCTTTTTGACTTTTAACCCCGATAACTCGTTGAGAAATTTCTCGACCACGGTTTTCAAGAGATATTCAGAAACTTCAGAATCGTAGCAAACCGTATAGCAATTTTTAGTTTCTTCTTACCTCAAGATTTAAGAAATTTATTTTCCGGTGTTGCTAACTTTCTTCCCCTTTTTAAATGCATCCCTGAAAATTATTATTTCTCAAAAGATTTCTTTGTTACCTACTCAATTTAAGTTGACATCGAGCTTCGGTCTTCCACGGCACAACACGAGGGCGTCAAGTCAACTTCAGAATATTTTCCAAGTTGAGCTCAGCCTGAACTGCAACAGAACTGCGTCAATAAAAATGCAATGATTTTTATCCATTCATGGTATGTGAGAAAACTTAACTCAAAATAAGTTCTGTAATGCTATTCTGTGGTAGTACAAACTTGAAAAAGCCATGGAATGTTTTTTTGTTGATTTCAGAATTGTAAGAGTAGGATTTGATTTCACAATTTTTTGATTGGATGCAAAAACTTTATTCAGTACTTAACCTTTAAGTCAAGGTTGAAGAAAGCTTGGTCTAAAAAAAATGTTCAATTACTTATCCATTAGAAGAGTCATTAAATTTTGTAATGGAAGAGTGAAAACTTGGAAAAATGAAAGCTACTGTGTTGAAGAATTGCCATTTCCGTTTGCGAACAAGACCTGTCCATTAGTGATTTTAATGGCCAAGTATAAATAGGAACATTACGTGAATTAAAGAATAGTTTACTGAGGTCCATATTCAGAGATGGTCACTTTTTTTTATTGTTCTGTTATATTAGTAAGTTAAATTTATTATTTAATTTCATTATTTATAAAAGAAGGTTATAGTAATTAATTTAGTTAATAATTGAATGACAGGAAATATTTATTGTTATTAAGATTTAAAACGGATTAATAATTTCCGTTCAACCCTAAATTCATTAATTATCATCAAGTTTGAAAAGATTTCTTAATTAAACTTTATGGTAGTAAAATCTCTATCGAATTCTTTTTGAAAAGAATAGGGGAAATATGTCAGAATTCTAATTGATAATTTTATTGTGTTCATTTATTTCAATAAACCCAAAATGCATTTAATAGACAATTAGTGAGAATGAGATGCAGGTAGGTAATGTGATAATTGCAATAAATAAAGAATACGTTTTCTTTTTAAAATAGGATAGAGATTAAATGAAACTTTAAACAGAATACTTCCCATTTCCTACTTGTTTACACGAAGCTGTGATTCGATTTTTCTCAACGAAACCTTTCAATACTGTCAAAACATCAAACTCAATAGCTTGTTATCTTTTAAAGATTACTTCCTGGATTATTGAGGGATTGCCAATCACGAATCTATCACGAAGTATTACGATGCCATCCCGAATGTATTTACCAACGAAAAATGTTCTTGATGTAAATTCCGGTCAACAAAATAATGATGATTACTATCCAGCTGCCCTGATATCATCAAGTAAGTATAAATGTTTCTTGAGTAATCGGTTTGCATATGAAATTAACAGTCTACATGTACACTTAGTTCAAGAAGAAAATACGAGACCAGTATATGAGTTAATGGATGATGGGAACCAGCTATTGCTGCCTACAGCAATTCGTGGCAATGGGCAATCAACCGGACATACGTTTGTACAACGTGAACTGAAGAGAATGCATCATGACTTGGCAACGGATGTAGTAGGCTCTGCAATCACATCACTTGATTGGTTTCTCGGTAACAAAAGCTACAATACTCCACTTCATCCACCACCAAGTTCACTTCTAGCACTAGTTTTATCTCACTATGGTAGATATCTACCCTCCACGCGTTCACCTCGTGTTTACTCGTACATGACGGTAAACAACATCCACAATAACCGTCCGTTTGGTCAATACAAGTGGGCGTGTGACCAGGAATCAAATTCTGCAGAATCAGATTAAAAAAATAGATGAAACTCTTTTATTTAATTTTACAAGATACTACAGTAATAACTGCAATCATTTAAACAGTTTTGGACAATTATAAAATATGAGAAACTCATTTTAAAATCTTCAAAATCGATAGATGCAGGTCAATTGATTTTCTGCATCTCAAAAGTTTCGACATTTTTCTACTTTAAAGCTGAAAGTTGTTTCAAGAGTAAGATGGTTTAGCTTGTGATAGAATCTAGAGTGCATAGCTACGCTAGATCAAAAGGCATATTTATGCAAAACCAGTTACGTTACTGTTTGGCACCAGTAGGAATTGATTTTCTTATTCGGAACACGATCCACACCAGGATCTCTGCTCGTCTTTCAACTCTCTCATGTTTCTCGACTTACATTCAGCTGTAGTACAAGGCAGGTAATGGACCAGTTTCAAATTGCAAGTGAACTTTAGCTGAAGTTCGATTGCAATCAGACAGCTAGTGATTGGAGAGGTCAAGATAGAGAGGTGTACAAAGAGAAAAGAACAAAAATAAACACAATTTCAAAAGGGTAGTAAATTAAGCTAGCAATTTATTTTCTAAAACCATTCTATTCTCAATTGCATAGTAATCAAAATTTATGAAATGGCACAAGTAACTTTAGAAAATAAAGTCGATTTGTCTAAAAACTGAGTCGACACATGATTGAGGTGTCTGGTTGTATAAAACGGTCCAGGGGATTTGAAAAGAGGTCGCTGTTAAAACTGAAGTTGGCGTCTTTCTTTTCATATCTTCTTTTAGAGAACAAAGAAAGCTCTATTTTACAACACACCGGAAATACTAGGGTTTTCACTAATTTTTTCTCCTTCTTCTTTCTACTACTTCATTTCTCCACTTGACCATTGCTCACTCGTATGACTTGACAGTGTGGTGAATACCTCTTAAAGCACCTATGAAGAGAGGACAATTATAAACACAGCAATTACGCCAGAGAGTGTTTCCTCTTACGTTTTTGTATCCGTCATATTCTTTGTTTCTACCTTCAGGGCGTCTATTCTATCAAGAGAGACTTTTTCCCGCTTTCCTTCTTTTTTGCTCTCAGCACCTTCGCGGACTCCAACCCTCCAAGTTGTGAGATTAAACGACTCCCTGCTAGTTACGTTCGAGCATCATGGGGATTAGCAAAAGGGGACGCGTAAGGATGAGAAACTTGGCTTCCAAGAGAAACGTAATCAAGATATTTCTTTTGAGCTTCGTGTAGTCTAACAGAAGGTGAAGTAACATTATAAAGATGGTCCTTTAGAATCTTAAAATTAAGATAAATGCAAAAATTTTCATAATCACGAAATGACAATTCCAAGTATCATAAATTCATTGTAATATCCTGAAAGCTGAAATAAAAATATTTTTATAAGTCATAAGAGGGTTGGAATAAGAGTGGCGCACGTGTCATTAATATTAGAAAAATAATTCATGTATTCGAGAGCGAAAGGGAGCTGTATGGACACACTTGGCTGTTATCATATCTCTAACTTTCAACATGTAGGCGAAGAGGAAATGATTGCCGTGCAATTTCCTGGCGCCATCGTACCGCGTCGAAGCTATTACGCGCGCTGGCTCCTGGAAAATTGACGCGACACAGACCCACCTCCTTGTTCTCTCTATCTCTTTTACATCTAACCAATCTCTCTCACTTTCGTTTTGGTATTCCGTGTGTGATAGACACCCTCTGCGTGGTTATCGTCCAAAGGATCGAGCTCTACGATCAAGGGACTGCTCTAAAGGGGCATGTAAATGTGTATCTATGGTCCAGATGACATATTGACATAACGCGGCAACAAGAAGCCCTTTACAAGTACGAAATTGCTCAAATATTTCATTTAATCCACCATTTTGTTTCTTTAAGCTAACAAAACCATTTTTTTCAATCAACCTTATGAGAAATACTGCTGAATAAGATTAAATAAAAAGCTTCACAAGTATATAGAAGCAGTTCATACGACATCACTTCCCTAGGGAAAGAGAGCGGAATAACCTCATCAGTGACCAATAGACTTCACCTCGTCGTCAGCATTTCGCTGTCTCTTTCTTTCAGCTACTTTTTTCTTTCCTTTCCTTTACTTACTTTAATGCTATACAACAGCAGCTAGAGAGTCAGAAAGCAGTTGGTACAGACTTGATCGCATTTACCAGACCATACTGCCATGTCTTCTCTCTCTCTCTTTCTTTTGGTTGCACCGCATGTTCACCGAGACGATAAAAGTCCGATTCATGACTCTGAACACTTGAATGTGACGGCCAACTCGAATTCTCGCACTCATGTACCTCGTATAAGAGCACATCGAAGATCAAATGTCGCATATGGTTGTAATGTTTCATCTTTTGAGTAAAATAAGAAAAAGTTCCACCAACATTAATAATACTTTTGGGAATAATTTACGGCTTTTGCTGACTTGAATACCATATATGTTCACCAAGAATAACAACTAATATCCTGAAGTACCTTTAATACGATTCAACTATGTTGCTTTTTTCAAGTACTAAGAAAGTAAGAAAACAGTTGACTCAACTACATCACGTAGTTGCGGAAATTCCACTCATCGGCTTTAGATACAGCTGTATAAATTCAATTTTAAGCTCAGAAAATTAATTTAATCTTCATTCTTTTTTTTTGTTTTACCAATTAATGTTGATTACAAAATCAATTTAGAGTATTTAAATAGAATTTCTTAAAAAAGTGCTGGGATTATTGGATTAAAATTGGAACATTTAGTAATGAATTTTTCCTTTCGACCTAATTAGATCCAATCATATTTCTTTAATCCTAATAAATGTCAGTCGGTTGCACGATTTCGTTGGTATCACTTTTTTTGAGAGTTGATATATATAAAGTAGTATAAAAAGAGCATGGTCCTAACATGGAAACTGGTTCATTACAAGATGTATTGGCTTGATGCACTTCTTGATAATGAGGGGTTGCAAAAAAGATGGCTGAAGGAAGAGGGTAGGATAGGCCGTTAATTAAACAGTAAGAGCGACGTGCATTGTCATTTAATGCTGCCGATGGCACCATCTGTGAGTATGCTAGTCTTACGTTTGCGTTTATACTGGACTCTGAAAACGTGCTCTCACTAGAATTTGTACTCATTTCGTTTCATTCGCGTCTGCAAAGACTGCAGGGACAGCATTCTCTCGCTTACGGCTAAATTTTCTTATTACGTTCCTGGATTTCATTGTCTCGCTTTTCGTTGCCTCTCATCGTTCCAATTCTGCCTGGTAAGTCAGTTCAATTCAAAGTTTTTTATCTCGACCAATGTCTAAACCTTATTCTGAGTATTATTACTATCATCAGCATTTGTACAAGTTCTATTTAAAAAGAATTTTTTTCTTTCAAGATATGACACAATGTCATCATCATCATGTAATGCCACTTTCTCTTAGCCCTCATGTCATCAACAAAGATTAGACGTCAAATTTCATTGAGGACAATCTTCATTGATATATTTAAGTAGACCCTGATCCCAGCCCTTATTTACAGTCATGGTCGAAATTATCTGAACGACTTAAAACGTTTATAATAAGTGAACGGTTCATCTGCTCGATGTTTTAAAACTCATTAATAAAAGATTATTATTATAACAAGTAAAAGATGATGGTCGGTTATTTATACGATAGCTGCTCCTTTTTCTTATTTATTTTATTATAATTATGTAATGAATATAAATCGATAAATCAATATGAGGAAGAAAATTATAATATAAAAGATGTAACACTTATGTAATGAAAATGGATCAGTTATCAGACTGTGATGAAGACTGGTGCAGGTCAATTGAAATTATTCCAAGCTTTAATGAGACATAAATATTCAAAAAAGTTCTTATCTAAAATTGAACATTTTTATTTGTTGATTAGTAAAAAAAATGGATAATTAAGGATTGCAATAAACTTGATGAAGGTGTCAGTCTTTTTGAAATTGAAGTAAAAACTAAGACGAGGAAATTTTCTTGATTTTATCTGACAGCTCTATCTCTAGCTATAATCATGATGTACCATAGCATTAGACGTATCATGTTGAGTTAAGATCATTATGAATATCTCATATATATATATAACCTCATAAATATGCATTAAAATATTATATTAATTAAAGTCAAAAGATATATGAAACATTTAAGGTCAGAAATATTGAATTTCACTTTAAAAAAACAAACTCAAATTTTTAAATAAATGTATGCATTCAAATGAATAAATAATATAAACATAATAGGCCGTATAATTTTTTTATAATAAAAAAAAACAACTCGAGTATTATTTAAACTTTACTGACCAGCATCTAATTGTAATCTCGTTACTGGGAAACTTTAACTAGAGTATATTAATGTAGTTAACTTTTCTGTTGAAACGTAGGAACATTTACCATGTTAATATAATTAATTCTCCTGTTTTCACTATTTTATACTAGAAAAGAATGGAAAAAACTACAATAAAAGTTACCAGAAATTTTGTACCATGTACACTCATACTATAATTATTTTTCATGTTTAATTAAAAATTTTTAATTAATAGATAGTCTACTGGCATTGTCTTAAATAGGATAATAAAAATAAAAAAATCATAATACAGTTAAGAATAACGTTGATGAGTATTCGAATAAAGAACCTATTTCGAGAGATAATTTGGGCTTTAGATTGACGATACAGATATTTTGGGATGATGTTGGATGAGGGGATTCTTTTATTCCATTGAGATCCCCATTTGCAGAACATGCTTGAGGCATATACTCCTAGTTCATCCCCTTATCGAGACAGTCGCACGATCGACGTTAATCGAACGACGTTATTATATAGCATACGTGCAATTAGTAGTCCTGGAGATATGAGGGCGTGTGCGAGGCCACCCATGAGATTGTAGATTAGCATAAGAACCAGATCTGCTGTTGGAAGTGCCTGAAGCATTGAAAGATGTTCGCGCCTGTTTCCCCCTTTACTGCTTTGAGTTTCGGGGACATGTACGCCGCCATTGCTGAATAAAAATCCAGACAAGTTGTTTCGACAAATTACCTCTGTTACTTCACATGCCAGCAGCAAATGGAAGAAAAAAATTTACAAAATAAAACCCGTTTGAAATCTCGTAGTACGAATTTTATAATGACAAATGAGTTTTTACCTCTTCTTAGATCTTTGCACGTGCCAAACAAACCACGTGCATCGTGTTCCTTGGACGAAAAATCTTCAAGATACTACTCCTCCTTCAGGACAAATTGCACTTGGAGGACATGAGAGAAAAGAAACGTCTCGACTTGCGTCATTAGGACTTTACAGACAGGCTAGGGGCCAGCTGGTTGGCACGCGCGATACGTGACGTGAATCAGTGACTTTACGAGCTCGCAGGCGATGTTGGATGATGAGGGTAAAGAATGAGAGAGAAAAAGGCTAGTGGGAGTAATGCAAAAAAAGGGAAAAAGTGTGGCAAAAGAAACTTTTTTAGACCAAAATGCCCATGTTTGAGCCGAGTTCTCGGGAGTTATACTTCTGTTAACACCTTAAAGTGATCGTGAATAGCATATCATCATCTGGATAGCTTCGAGGCATGCATACCCTCTGTATTTTTATATTACGAATTCAAGATCAACATTTATATTGTCTGGGTGACTTTGAAAACTTGAAAGAAAAATTATCTGTACAATTATATCGAAAAAGAAATGTTTAATGTAATGTTCTTTCTACTTTCAATAAAGTAAATAGAAATAAAAATAATAAATTCAACCAAAAAAATCTTTTTTTTCACTTCATGTAGCCTTGATGGAAGTTTAATAATCCAACCTTTTATAAATTTTTACAACAATTACTTTTCTTGTAATAAGCAGCCAAGGCTACTCAACTTATTCTTATATACTTTAACGA